CGGTCATTCTCAGATGCCTTAAGCATCCCATTCATCCTTTTGCTTGATTTTACAGTTACTCCTTTATAAGAGCAGTGAAAACTCTCACTTCCTTTGTGACATAGCATGGGAAATAATTGAAAGTCTTTTCGGTGTTTTTGAAGAAAACAGTTATAAGTACCAGTTTTAAAATCATGAGATTGAAGAATAAATTTGGATTTCTTCAATATTCAGCAATAATTATTATTTATTAACAGTATTTTAGATGTTTTGAAACAGAGGGATTTATTTAATGTTCTGTTTTATGTGCAATGAAGAAGTAGACACCTTTGTCAGGAGTGAGTCAACTCTGAGTGCTCAGGTTAAGTGTTTGCATCTGCAGTTAGGCACATAAATAAAGAATCTTATTTTTCTCTGCCTGCTGCGCACACCTAGATGTCATAGATCTTGAGGTGAATTGTATGAACTAAAGATTTGTAAAACTGGGGGTTTTTTAGGTGCCTAAATGTAAATTTTGGTGCTTAATTTTAATTGTTTGCCCTTGGACGGTTTGACATTGGCTATTTTGAAACAGTACTACCTGGAAACATTGAGTGTAAACCAAAGCCAAGCTGATCAAGGCAAGTTGCATGTGTAAGCTGAGTAATGCTGAACAATATTGGAAAAAAACTTAATGAGAACAGGGATGCAAGTCCAAGGTGGACTTGGTAATAGCCATCAGTATCTGTATAAATACCTAGCTGAGAAAGTCACTTTCCTGCTGGAATGTTTCTAAACGTGATGCGGACAGACGTGCCGAGTACGAATGCCGATGGTATTTGCACATGCTTCAGGTACATGACTACATCACTTATAGCCAGTTAGCAAACGTGAAATGCAATGGATTAAATATGCTTGTTTAAAAAACAAAGCAGAAATCCTTATCGGCCGATAAACTTTCCATTCTAGCTGGTAGTTGGTTAGGTCTCACTTTTTATTGTTTGGCGCAAAAATCTGCCAGTTATGCCATTTTGCGGCTTGCTCATTCTTTTTGCAAAACACAACCTGATGGATGGTTGCACTGCTGAGTCAAACTGATTGCTCAAAGGCTTGAACTTGCTTCAGTTTTGGGGCAACACAGGCAATGAAAGAAAAGCCAATAAGGGGAACTGTACATTATATGCTAGGGTTTTATATGCAGGAAGAAGGACATGGTTAGGAAATTGTCAAAGGTATAGCAACTAGGATATAGAAAGCCAAATTGGAGTTCTCACAGAAACACAGAATAGTTGAGGTTGGTAGGGACCTCTGGAGATGGTCTTGTCCAACCTTCTTGCTTTATGAGGGTCACTTAGGGCAGGTTGCCCAGGACCGTGTCCAGTTGGATTTTGAATATCTCTAGGGATGGAGACTCCACCGCCTCTCTGGGCAACTTGCTCCAGTGTTCAGCCACTCACCATGAAATGTGTTTTTTTGTGTTCGAGTGGATTACCTGTTTTTCAGTTTGTGCCCAGATGTGAGTTAGATGCTCAGATGCTCAGCTGTCAGTAATGCCATTGAAAACTTCCTCTAGAGCATTCACACATTAGAGCTTGGGAAGTGATGAGCTTTTGGTCCTCAATTAACTGCTAGATTAAATCCTGGTAGCTTGTAGGTGAAATTCTTAGGACTGGATTTCATGTCCTTCACACAAATCAATTCAACAGTTGTTTCTTTTGGAGTGTTGCTGAAGCAACTGCTGCTTCTCCAACTGCATGGTCTAAGGAGGCGTATACTCTACGTGCTGCATCAGCAATATATTTGCTTCTTGTTGTTCTAAACCTCTTGTCATTATCTTATTCTTCATTCAGCAGCAATTATTAAACAAATAATCATCTCTACATTTTCTGTCTCCTGTTTCTAAGAATTTTTTATGGTCTATTTCTTCACAAATATACACTAGGAGTTGAAAAAAAGAAGTGTAAGTGTAAGGGTGCTTATTCACCTCCCTGGCCGTCTTTTTTTAATTGAAGTATCCTGTTCTTTAAATGCTACTAACATCTAAAAGAATTAATTTTCAAACTTAAAAAAAAGCGAGCAGCGCTGCATTTAATAGAAGCATCTGAAAATGTGACTCGCTTGGCTAAAAGACTAGTGTAAATGTGTATGTAACTCAAAACATGCATATATGTATATAAAGAGGTCTGCTACTATTAATATTAGTTAACTGACCATAATATGAGTCTGTATTACATACTATATTGTTGGGAGTCTATTTTAAAAAAATGCATTCTGTGAATGTATGTATTTTTACTAAGTTGTTCAAATCAAACTTTTCAACTAAAATGTTGCTTATTGACATGGCACCTAGCATCTAGCATCACCTCATTCAGTTTTAATTTGTTCTGCAAATAGATTTTCTATGCAAACACTGTATTGTATTTTGACTTAGAGACATGTAAGATTTTTGCATGCAAGCAGCATTAAAATTTAAAGCAAATCTGCTGAAGTTTCGGGGTTTATTGATTGAATTTACTTATTTAGGGTTGGGAGTTTGAGGAGAGTTTTTTTTATTTGTTTTTAAAATTACTTCTTTTCTGTAGGAGACTCCTTTACACAGTTTCGATTTGCTGAAGAGAAAGAATGGGATGCAGAAAGCATATGCCAAAAGCAGGTAACAGAAAAATTATCATTCCGATAAGTTTGTGTGGATAATCACCCTGAATCCAACTGGATTTCAGTACTTCTAATACTGAATGGATATTTTTCTATGTTAAGTACACTACACATCATAGGTAGAATGGCTTAAAAGGAAATAGTATGCTTTTGTACAATTTCGTATCCTGCTGTAGAATACACAGAAGTGACTGTTCTTTCAGCAACAACTGTTTAATATAATCTATAGCACTCTATTCTGTGGCTATTTTTATTAATTTGTCTCCAGTATTGAAGGCTCTGGGGTCCTTTTTTTCCCCCCTTCCCTAATGCAGAAAAATCAGAGCAGCAGGCTAGATTTTAAAAAAATGATCTAGTAAATTTTTTGAAAAAAAAAATAAGCGGATCTATCCAGAGAAAGGAAAATAACAGACTGTCACCTTGCTTCACCAACATATCAAGTCAGACTTCCAAATACAGGTGTATTCAAAAGTAGTAGTTTAGTCAAGTATATGAACCTATTCATATAGGTTCTGTTCTAATCATTTTGCTCTGGAGTGTGTTCTAGGTTTTTTCAAATTAACAATGCACATCCTCTGATTCAAACTTGATCTTTTAGATGCCGGGTATTTTGTTTTTCATCACATTCTTTGAGTGTGTGGAACATGGGAATATAACAGAAGAAAATCATTATTAGTGTTTTGAGGTTTTGTTTTGTTTTGTTTTTTAATGGAAACTGACTGTGTGTTGAATTATATTTCAGTTATCTGCCCTTTCTGTTGACTGTCAGAGTTTGGTTCAGGCCCTTCAAGAACTGCCTCTACATCTAAGGTTGAATGTGGCTGCTGAACTGGTGCAGGTAATGCTGTTTATTCTCACAACATAATGGAAATATTTTAAGTGAAATAATCCATGCTAGAACAATTGCTTTAAACTTGGTCTTTGAATGTGACTTGCATGTATTTTACAAATAAGTGTATTTCCTGAGATTGGCCAGTCAGCAGGCACGTGAATCAAGATACCATGCATCAGCACTTCTTATGCTTTTGTTGTTGACTTTAAACAAAATGCTTCTGTGTGCAGCGGACTGGCTTTGAAACTAGGTGTCTGGGTATTTGACATGGAGTAATGCACTGTTTCAGTATTTGCTCCTTTTTTTTTTTAGCAACTGTTATAAACTTGCGCCCAAGTTTTGAACAAGCTTGCAAAGTATTTCCAATTAGATGATTCTTTTAATTGGAATTTACTATCCTGTATAGTTAATATCAACATATATGTTTATTCCATGAATCAAATTTAGGTCTGTGTTAGAACATGAGCTGTCAATCAATCAGGTGAAGAAAATGTTATTCATACTCCAGCTATAGAAAATTAAAGAACAATATTACCGGAAGTGTATCTTCAGGCTGTGAAAAAGCAAATATTACTGTAAGGCGAAAAGAAATAATGAGGCTCATGTCTAAAGACCAAAAAAAAATCAGTCTGCTCAAGTAAGGAAAAAACCCACAACCCTTAGAAGAAATTTTACTTCCATTTTTGGAATGTTGAAGCTTTAAGTGCTTAAGTGTCAAGGGCACAGATATCTTCCTTAACGTGGATCAGAGTTGTCTGCAGATGTAACGTCTAAGGGAATCTGCAAATACTTGCTCTCTTTTCAAATGCAGTTCTCTTCCTACAAGTTAAAGAGCATAACTAGAACTCTTCTGTTTTGCCACAATTGCTCCAGGATGGTGGGTGTTATTTTAACATACCTTTGGTTTTTGTTTTCTGAAGAAAAACAGTAAAAAGCGATTTGTAATTAGGTGCCAGACTCCCTTCAAAATACATATATTTGGGCAAACACAGTTATACAGTGTGTGTTACAACATTTAACTTTATCTTGCTGTTGTAACACATGATACAGTAATCAGTGTGTACTAGATATACAGCAGCGATATTAATGCCATGGCATCCTGATAAAAGCAGGATCTGTGCTTTAGTGTTAATTTATGAGTTGTCATTTCTTATTGTGCCATTTGATAGTGTGTTACAGTCTCGTTTCATTTTTCAAAGTATTCAGTGATGTAATACGGCTTTTGTCAAATCATTCTCAGCAACCTGTAGTGTGGTTTGCTTTCAAGACTGGAATTTTGGAGGGAAGGCCTAAAATGGGACAATGTTTCTAGCTAAATTCTGTCTTCAGTCATTCCAAAATTCAGGGTACTGACTGCGTTTAATTATAGAAGAATTAGAGAAGTAACTAACTAACTGTGCAGGAAGTATTTGTGGAATGACTGAATTTGTTGTTTTAGCATATAATCTCATATTTCATATTAAGGGATACAAGGAATTTGTAGCTTGTAGACACTCAACTACCATCAAGTTAATTTTACTGTACTTTCTGTTTCTGAACTGAACTGTGGTGAATTTAATTCTAGCTTCTTAAGCGGTGAAACATTAGGAAGTATGCATTACAAACCCAAATTAGACAGAACAGTGAAAGTTGAGTTCATCGTTACAAGGACTAAAGTCTTTTCTTGTACTCTTAGGCATCAACACCTGTTGAGCTCCCGCACATGCAATTTAAAAATACTGATGACAGCAAGAGGAGAGAGATTCTGTTTCAACAGTCTTTGGCTCAAAGTGAACCAGTGTCTGTATCTCATCATGTTGGTGATTTTGTTGCCACATCAGAGCCTAGAAATAAAGATGCTCGTGCAGCGAGAGCTGCAGAACCATTTCAGAGAGGCTCTCCACTGTCAAAGCAAGAGACTGACCATTTGGATGAAGAACTAGATCTCCTCCTAAATCTGGATGCTCCCGTTAATGCAGAAAACAGTTCTGTGTCAGGTGCATTATCCTACAGCATAACTGAGAAAGATCTGAAAATGGATTATAACGAAAAGGGTAAGATCCCCGCTCCCCCTCTCTGCATGGCCTCCCTTATTTCATTTCCATTGTTCTCTTTCTGGGTGATGTTTTTAGAATCATTACTAACAAGTTAACAGTACCGCTGTCATCATCCCTGTCTGTCTCATAGTGCAGTTCATTGATCTGAGATTATGTTCTGACCTACGCGTTCCTTTTCAATTTTAACTCTTCCCAGGATGACTTCAGATATGTAACCGTAGCCCTCTTATTCATCATACTGATGTTTTGAAACATGTTGCTATTGCTTATGAAAATAACATAGTCTGAATCTTTTTTGTTAGAAGCAAATTACATCTAAAGCTTTTAAAATGCAGTGAGTGAAAATATTCCTTTGTTATAGCTTCTAGAGTATGTTGGAATGTGCTCTTTCCAGAATTTGGCCATTATCTCATATCCTGGCTTTTAACTTTTTTTTATTCTAAGCACATTCAATAAAGTGTGTGCCTGATACAGTTTGCACATTTACTAACTTTCAACCATTATGCCTTTATGATTACATGGTTAGTAGGATAAATGAATAAAACAATGGGGCTCAGTTTTCCATCTCATCAAAGATGGATGATCGTATAATAACAACCGAAGTAAAGCTACAGTGGTGATCTTTAACTGCAGCAGACAAAAACCTAGATATCCAAATAAATGCCTGCAGAGAGAAATATTTCTGAATCTTAAAGAGTTCAGTACTTTCCAGGATGCTTTAAAAATTGCTATGACTAATTTTTCAAGCCCAAAGAAAATGCACAATTCTTGCTTTCTGTTATTCAAAGTGGTATAATCTTCTGTGAGGCAGAAAAAAGAGCTATTTAGTTTTTGGCCTTTGAACACAGTCTGCTTTTTCCTTTCTGATAACTTCAGTTGCTTTCACTCCTTTCATTGGGCTGTGTTACATATGTATAATCTATTAAGCAAGTCCTTAACTGTATTTCAAGGATGGCAGACCCTTAATGGGATGGCCAAAAATCTAGTCTTTAGGATGAAAGAGTTGTTGGGATTGTGAGTAAAAATCCTGAACGGGTCATCTTCCTAGAGATCTCACAAACCCCTCACTGCAGCAGGTACCCCATTATTCCTTCTAGACTCCAAGAAACCATAGTCCCAGGTCAGTAGATGTTAAAGGGGGTATTAATTTACTTAGAGCAAAGCTAGTCATTTGACGAGGTGAAATAAGAGTTGTAGATAATCATCTTAGCAGTTTCTGAATACGCTTGTTTTTTTGATTTTTTTTTTTTTTTTCTGAGCCAAATTTGTAAAATACTATGGGAACTGTTACTGACGGGACACTTTGCACTCTAGCACAGAGGAACTGCAGAGTGCTGTGGTGGTTGTTACTCTGGAATGCTCTTAGCATACTAAATACTGAAGTAAGTAAGTACTGTATATTTTGTAGAGCACATCATTGCTAAAATTTTCTCCTATCATCTAAAATGTTTTATTATATACATGACTAACAGTACTTGTCAATAACAGTAAGTAACATCATTGAAAAGTACTTCCCTGATGTGCTGAGTTTCACCACTGTCAGCACGTTCATTTTAAGCATTAAGAGAGAAAAAGTTGTTATTTTGCAAAACAGCATTGGTCTTATGATTTAGCAAAATTAGAAAAAAAAAAAAGTACTGCTAGAGAGTTGTAGTGAGTGATTATTTAAGATTAAAATACAGCTTTTGTGTAGCATTACCAGCCCTTCCCAAACCCCCCCCCCACACACACATATAATATACAGAAGAATCAACAACTATTTCTGCTGACGGATGGTCAATGCTATTTTCAAACTGTACTGGCATTCATTTTACTTTTTTTTTTTTAAGGAAATAAAAAAATATGGAAGTACATTCTCATTTAAGAAATTATTATTGTTAGGTCTAATGGAGAGTAGTTCTGTTCCTCCCCAGTCCACACTGATACAAAAGACTTCTTAGTTTCCCGCGCTTTGTGTATGATTTTGTTGCTATGTTAAAAAAACAAAATAAAAAGGTGGTTCAACATGTAAAGATGTCATAACAAGCAATGAGGCAAGCCCTGTCACTAAAGAAGATCTTGAAATAATAGTTTCATTTCTGTAGTATGTATGTATGTCATGCTTTCCACACCAAAGCACAGTATAAATTCCTTAAGAAAGAAACCAAGAAACGTGGAATCCTAGGATAGCGTTGTGCCTCCTGCTGCTGTCCCATGTAAGAGAAGAATCTGTCTCTTGCAGGATTGAGACCAGCTCTCTGTAGGGGATCGGTTAGGATCTGTGGGCTGAAGACCAAGCCCCACCTCCCCCTTTCAATGGGATGAAAGCCATACTCTTACTGAGAAGTTTATTAAGCTGCCTCAATTGTTGTTGCTACTATTTTTGGAATGGACTCTCCAGTTGTTAGTAAGTTGTACATTAAAAAGCAAAATGATTAGGGACAAAAATCTGGTAAGGAGTTGTTGTTTCCAGATTTATGTCTGTTGTTTTTACTTTTCTAGATCCTTTAAAACTAGATGTGCCTGAAGAGAAGAGTAGAGCATCACAGCAGCAGCAAAGTGCATCTAAAAATGTCACCGAGGAAGAGCTTGAAGATTGGCTGGACAGCATGATCTCCTGAAGCCTGGATTTTCTTATGTGAATAAATGAATATAGCAAAAGTTAAATAGAAAGTATTAGTTTAAGGAATGGAGTGAATTCCTTTATCTCCTCTTTATTTCTTTTATTTCGCTTGGTTCACCGTGCCAAATGCCTAATTTTATTTGACAGCATGTAAAAACCACTCATCCAAAACTCATTTAGATGTGATTGAAAAATTCTCTGAAGTTAATATTCCTGGTAACAATACTTCTTTTAAAAGTCTAAATTCTGTCATGCAATTAGGATTTTCTTCGCGTAATATGCATGCCATAGTACACTAATAGAGAAGTTGTTTCAGCCTGTACTTGCTATGTGTAGTCCCTAAAATAAAACTGTGAACATAAAATACATGTGTTTTTAATCACCATCCTATGCCACATTTCCATTGCACTAGAAAAACTAGAAAGAAGAGACAATAAAGGTATTTTTCATTTGGTTTATAATACTTTATTGCAGTGGGCACTTTTCATTAGAAGAAAAAAAAAATGCATAAACCTAGCAGCTTCCACATCCAGATGGCCATAAAGCATTGTTTTATTTTGGCCTAAGATTTAAATTTTATTCATTTTGATACAATGTTGTTTTTTTTTTTTTTTTTAACAGCAGCATCTAGTAAGCTGTTATTCAAGGTAGTAAATAAATGAACCTCAAGTGCAGTTTCATACAGAAAGACAAAAGAGCAACACGGTTAATGGATCTGTCCATCTAGAACACTAACAAACATAAATAAAAAGTTTGCATAGCTATGTCTACAGAGGTTTAAGGCACTTAATTGATGTTTCAGGGTCAACAAAGTGTTTGAAAATGTTTTATTTTTAACTGCTTAAAGCTATTAAGCTGTATTGTAATACATTCACTAGCACATACTGTGGGGAAAGACTGGACTGCAGTTAAAATACCTTCTGAGGCATGGCCTCTGATGTTCAAGTTCTTAAATTTCAAATGTTGTGCAGTTAAGATGTCTTTTAGCCCTTTCAGCTGAACTACCAAACACTGGGTGAATGGTGTGGTTAAAAAGTTTTAATCAGGCCTTGTTTGAATTGGAAGGCTTAAGTTAATTTTCGCATAGGTTTTAAATTGAAATTTCAGTAAAAGAAAGACCTGTTTCATCCATGGTAGGCAAACAAAGCCTATGAATTGGTTTCAAAATTTATGTATGTCTTGAAGTTTAAAGACATTTAAAGCAAATACGAGCTCTAAATTGTCACCCTAGAAAGAAAAGGTAAGAGGTTTTTTTTGTTTACTGGATTTTTAACAGTTCATGAATGGCAGCTTTTCTTTTGTGATAATGTTAGCCAAGTTGATCCTCATACTGTTTCCGAAAGCAGTCTCCTGCTGGGAAGAAATCCCAACATCTTTCTTGGTACATCTTCCACACAAATGACTCCTGTAAATAATAAGGAGTATTTATTTTATCAGAAAACCTCGCAGCTAGCACTGTAGATAAACTTACTTATAACAACAACCAGTACTGTGCTTATCACATAAAGTATAACTGTGAAAAATACTGAAACTCTTGGATCGTAATTCAAGAACGCTTGTAAAATTACTTTTCTGCCTGACCTCTGTTGGAGGTAAGTACTTCCGATTCAGTATTCCTGACAGTTAAACTTGAGGCAGAAAAGCTGCGTTAAGCGTAAATTAATCAGTCCAATTATATGAGAACAAACCTCTACAATTTGTATATATAAAATGTGTTGTATTTGCTTGAAAACAATGCTGAAGTTTAAGGTAGCTTAACAGTGTTTGCATTACAGCTTCTTATTTAAGAGTCAATGAATCCTATTTATTTTCTTTGTAGGCCCTAATAATTTTGAACATACACACACAGACACACATGCATGCACAGATACACTTGCATGCACACACGCATATACGCATGCACACATGCTTACACACAAGACACACTCGCATGCGTGCACACACCTGCACAGATGCAGACATGCACATCTGTGCGCACACACACACACACACACACACACACACATGCATGCACACAGTTGTACATGCACATGCAGACCTGTACATGCACACATGTACACACACACACACCCCCCACGTGCACAGGTACAGACATATACACATGTGCACACAGATACCTACACACATGCCCACAAATACATGCATGCACAGGCATAGTCCTACACACACGTGCACGCACACACACAGTGCCTACATATACACATGCACAAGCATACAGACACATGTACAAAGCCGCACACGTAAACAGTCATATATATACACACACACACACACACATGCATTCATGCACATGGATATATATATACACACACATACAGGCACGCACATGTACCAGAAGCACATATACACACACATGCCATGTGTACATACATGTGTATGCACGTGCATACATGTACACACATGCACATAAGGACACACATGTACACTCACCCACATACACAAATACATGCGTACACATACACACACCACTAAACACACATAAACAGAAATGTACACATGTGCCCCCCCATATGTACAGACACATGTATGTACCCTCGTGTGTGTGGGTGTGTATACAAATATATGTACATGTGCACACACCTACCCCTACCATGGTACACGTGCATGCACACACACACACACACAGACATATGGCCTATAAATAGAGTAGTTTACTGAATCTGAGGGGAGGAAAACTTTAGCTACTGTATTTCAGGGTTTCATTTCAGCTATAAGGCAAAAGTTAGGTAACTGGTAACTGTCTTCTGCAGAAAGACAGTTTTATTTTTTTTTACTCTCCCTTTTATGCCCAGAAAATTCTCAGGGAGAGTGATATTAGTCTCCACTCCTTGGTGGTACATCAGTTACATCCGGTAGTACACAGATACAAGGCTAGAGAAGATTAAAAATAATGAAAGATAAAAGTTAAATTTTTGATTTATTATCTTCTACCCACCTGGCCAGTATGCTCAGTTTCATCCTTATTAATGAGATACATTAAAAAGAACCTGAAAAAAGCACATGAAGCAAGCATTAACGTAGAAAACATAAGATCTCTGCTTCACCTTTCCTAGAATAGAACATGGAAATTATGACAACCAGAAAAGTAATGACCCTGCTTCTAAATTTAAAAAAAAAAAAAAATTAAGGAGAAAATTCTATCCTCCAGTACTTAATTCCTGAGTTAGTGCTAGTAGTTAAAAAAAAAAAAAAACTGTAAAAAAGTGTTTTAGCATTCTGTTTCAGTGCTAGGAACAACACATGACTGACTGACTTAGGTTTTCGTCCTATCCCAGCTCCCATGCTTAAACTGTCTCACCCTGGAAGACGATGCAGTAACTAACTGCTACACTGTAAGTATGGTGGATGCCCAACTGCACCAAGCTTTAAAAAAAAACAGTCATGCCACTCAGTTTGAGTTGTAGCGTGTCTTAGATGCCAGTGAATAACTCAAATGTAGAGAGCTTGATCTAATTCTATACTGGAAAAAAAAAAAGTGTTGGTAATGCTAGTGTAATAATATGACTTTTGGCACATAACTATCATAAGTTTCATGAAGAACATCTTGAAGGTGTCCACATGGGAAAGGGAGTAGTAATTATATTAACCAAAGTGTTCCACAACAGCAGTTATTTTAGGCCTTTGCTTCTATATGTAAGTGGCATGACAGAGGAAAAAGAATTGCAGCTATGGGTGAAGAAGTTCCTTTGATACCCTCCCACTACAGCATCGGCAATGTCCATCCTTCTGAGCTGGAATTTTCAAAGGAAAGTTAGTTAAATTCAGATTCCTAACTCCCACTGACTAGGGCTCTTGCAGAAAAATCAAGTCTAGGTTTTGAGTGAGTGTTTTAATGCATGAATACATTTTTTCCTGATCATGGAAGTAGCCTTCTGTAAAAGGACCAGAAAAAAACATTCATGGAAGTGTCATGGCAAATTTTGTGACATTGAGCAGAGTAGCTACTGGACTAAATTGCAATATAGTTTTTTGTTTGTTTTTTTTTTTTTCCTCCTTTGGCTCCAAGCTGCAACCAGAAAGTTTCTAATTAGATCGGCTGATTTCATTGTCTGCTTTGTCCATGCAGATTTGCTGCAAGACAGCTTACTATCTTTTCCAGATTTGCTGCATACATAAAAACAGGCTATATCTGTGCAAACTGTAAAATGAAAGTTACAGTCCATACTTGTAATCACAATGATACTGAAGGCCATGTGAAGCTGTAATACAGCTTTTTTCTTGAAACGCCCTTTACTTCAGCTTAATGTGGTACGTCTTGTTTTACTGAAGTCCTTAAAACTGGACAAAATTTGGTGTTAATATTTTGATTTTTGAACTGCTGAACTTAGTAGCCCTTTATGTTACACTAATGCAGGTACTCTGTTCCTCAAACAGGAATGATTTTTCCTAGTCATTAGAGTTCCGTGTTCTTAAAAGTGATGATTGAATTGAGTAAGTCTGCCGCTTGCAGCTTAGTTTTGCTGAACTTCTACTGTCAGTACATTTGAAAAATCAATGTTGATGCTTTATTTTTGAATTTGAGAAATAATGCCTCTTAACAGCAACAGAAACAGTACAGTCAAGGGTTTATCAGGTATCTTAGATATCTGCATGTGTGCAAGAAATTCCTGCAAAGGACAAGTTTCACAGAAGGTTACTAATTGTATACATTAAATTACCATGGATGATTTTTAGAAGTCAGTTTTGCTACATTAACACTCATTGACAATTTTTTAAATGCACTCAGAAAATTTGTATTAGCACAGTTTCACGCAATAAGACAGTCATGGCAAACAGTCTTTGAATCAGCTGTTATTCCTGTGTTTAACTGTATTTGCCATTAAAAGTCTCATTAGCAAGGATGTAGCGCACTAGCAATGGTCTGTCACATGTGAGAGAACTCTTGATTAGTCACTTCTGATGCAGTGCATTTGGAACCATACTTGAGATGTTTTCATAAAAAAAAAAAAAAGTAGTAGTATGCTGACTTTAACTTTGTACTGACTTTAACATTTGTCTAACTAAAAGGCAACCTGGTTAGAAAAAAAATATTCATTCAAGACTATATATTCCAATATTAAAAAGCAATTTTTAATAAACTGTGAATTAGAGGTTCTCATATGCCAATTGAGTGATCAAACCTAGCAAGAAACCTCAAGCTTAGAGCTGTAGACTGGTAAAACCACAGATGCTGATGGAAACTTGCCTCACAAAAATAGCAATGGACTGATTTTGCAGATTCTGTTGCTGAGCAAGGAATAAGCTTATTGTAATGGATCCTTCATCCTAGAGGCATACTTTTTTAAGCCGCATACTTTTAACTTTGGTTCTTCTAGCACAATGCTCATGCAGTTATCACGGTTCTATGAGTAACTAAAGCCATCAGATTCATTTTTTAAAACCCATTTTGCTCTGCTTTCAAAGTCGCACTATCACTAAAGAACTAGAGGATCAGACCTGTGTACTATTTTTTGTAGCTTATCTTCCAGAAATTATGTTCAAAACAAAACAAAAAAAGCATAACTCTTAAAAGAGGGTGGGGGGGGAGGAGCTTTTTCCTTCTGGTGCCCTTAGTTCTTGCTCATGTACTCTATTTTCTCCAGTCCACAAACAGGAAGTACTATTTTAAATCAGCCACAAGTTTCAGTGGCTTTATCAGCGTTACCAAGCCCCCACTGACAATCCTCTTCTCTTCCAAACTAAAAGGAGTTACAGACCGCTGTTCCCTGCCAGTCCCCATATCTGGTTTCCTTCCAGAGGAGAACGTAAAGCAGTGGTGTATCTTCAGGTCCCAACCTGCTAAGCTAGCTCATGTGCAGAGCAAGCACTGTAATGACAACCAACAGTAGGGAGTGGAGGACAGGAAACCAGAAAGGAACAGAGATCCTCAGTCCTGCAGAATTCTCTCTCAGGACTGTTCCGCAATGTGTGCTTCCAAGTTACCCTGGAGCTGAAAGGTTACTTTCTTGCAATTCCAATTAATGCAGTAAAACATACTTACAGGTAGTTTGCCAAGTTGTGCTCTTGCAAAGTATGTGTTTCAAAGCCATGTGGGGTTGTGTCAAAATAGTCATTGCCGATTCCACAAATAAAACATTTGGTCTGGAAATGGAATTCAAATGTTTTTCAGTTGTTAACTCAAAGCCACTTTTATTACTGGTAACAATCTAGATTAATAACAGTAGGGAAAATGTAATGAGCTCACTCGTACCTCCATATCTTCTCTCACTTGTTCTTGCTGGTCTCTTAATTCACCAAAAGCATCAATAATCAGACCTATTTTGTATGGAGAAAAGCAAAACTTCAGAACTTAGCAACATTCGTATTTCATACAATGCATAAAAGTAGCTTGGACTTAATCAAATATCCTCCACTGTATTTGGAATTCAGCATACTTGTGTCTAGGTGGAGCAATTCGAGTTACAATCTTTTCGTTTCCAGATATATGGCATTTGTTTACACTGCACTCCCAGTGAGAATTTCTCTGACACAGAAGTATGATCTTAAGAGTGGGAAGGCTTTCCTTGACATGCATTTTGGTCAATGTAAGCTTCCATAAGGCATGCAGTCTCCTATTTCTTGCTCCCATGAAGGAGATTCATTTTCATTCTCCTTCTCTTGGAACTTTTGCATTGCAACTTTTGTTTAATGAAGGAAACTTGGCTCCCACAGACCCAAAAGAGGGTTTATAATCACTTCCCTCTTGTTTGTGATGCAGCTTTGCAGCTGAAGCTGCACTGCTAATGCATCAAGAATAGAGCTGGATCATTCTGGGGACATTTGTAATTTTTTTCATATAGACTGATTACTTTTTTTTTCCCCACCAGACTGCCTGATAACTGTGGTTTTGTTTTTTCTGGCAACCTTAGGGCAGTTAGTTACATACAGCTGGAATTATCCAGCCAGCTGTGCTGGTTCCAAACTAGTTGTGTGAAAAGTCTACAGCAAGGTTTTCCCAGTTTTAATGGTTAATACAGCAGGAAGAGTGATCCTGCGCTGTGTCACTGCTGCATAGTTTCCACAGGTGTTCATAAATGCTGTAACCCAGGTACTTTGCCTTTTTTTGTATAGTGCTTAGGACAATGCATATGCTTATCAATTAAGAGTAAAATATTATCATTTCGGAAGTAATGATTTTATGAACTCAGAAATAAGTCTTTCTACCAATACTGCTTAAATCGTCTCAAACACAAATATGCTTAAAAAATACATTTCAGAACTTCAGTGCACTAAATTTTAGTTTCTAATAAGTTAATTGAAGATACCTTGAATAATGGCCAGCAGGATAACAATGACAAAGAAGAAAAATGTGATGTCAAAGACAATTCGATACATTTCATAAGGGTCTCCAGCAGGATCCTCGATTTCATCTCCAATGCCACCACCAGCTCTTACACCCACATACATGTGGAACAGATAACACTAAAAAAAAAGTTGGGAAACTATAGAAATACTTAACACGAATAAGTTGGGATTTTTTAATGATTTCCTTCTACTAATTTTCTTCAGACTTTTTAGTTAAACATTATAGAAACAGACAACATGTAATGTCATTCTTCACGCACCACACACGTTGCACAAGAAATCTGTTGAGTATCTTGACCAATGTGGTTAAATCTTCAACCAGAAGAACTAATAAGTGAGGGAGTCAGCATCAACTGTGCTACCCTTTCCCCCCCCACCTCAAGCCTTACATAAAAAGAAATACCATTTGCGGCACGTTCTTCTTCTATCCACTACTGTCCACTACTGTAGTCAACCATATTCTACCACTTACATACATTCCTATGGTTCAAGCTTGCCCTGAGTAATCAGAGAATACCTTTTAAAGTCTTGTAATGGAGCCTAGGAAATACTAGCAAGTATTGCCATAAAATAAATAGTGACATATTTACAGCAGATCCATCTCTATTAAGGTGGTTTGGGATAATTTCATTTTGCAATATTAAAAGTCTGTTTTATTATATTTTAAATGATTTATGATCACACATAAGCTGTGTTCCGTTTGAGGCAGAACAAATCACTTTACAAAAATGTTGCTCTATGTGTTATTTTTTAAACATGTAAGTCGTCATCGAAAAATTTTTACAAATCTGACTATTTAAGCTATGCAAGGGTATTAGAGTAGAATCTTCTGCTAGAGCTCTATACTATTTAATGCTCCTGTATAAATCAACTACAGAATCTTATAAACCGTCTTCAGTTGCATGATATGGGTTAATAACAAACAAAGGAAAACTCTAAGCTCAAACAGTGTTTTGTAGTCACATTAGACAGTAATAACGGTGTTAAATAATCATAAAAGCTGAGAAATTGGGTCTTTCACAAGTAAACACTAAACAACTATAGATTCATTTTTAGAATGCAACTTTACTGTTCAGGTAAGATACTGTTACTAGTTTAATCATGCTTAAAACATAAATTGGAATTGATTTATCTCACTTGGTAGAGCTGTTTAAAATGTATCATTTATTCCAACTACTCCTACATCCATTTTATGACTGGTGCATGAACTTTATTTCAAGTCAAACCTTTGCATTCAGCTCACAGAGGGACTAGTTAAATAAAACAGTGGACAGTTTTCATCCTTTCTATCATTTGCACATCTGGCTTGCATTGCATATTTGATAGAGTGTTCAAGAATAGGGAAAATCATTTTGCATAGCCAATTATGTTCTATATGTGACATGTAACACAGGGCACATGATAGTGACTATGCCCTGGAAGAAATGCACTGGACACCAGCTCAGAACATGAAATGTTTAACAGATGGTATTTTGTGCTGTTTTACTTGTGCAGTAAGAAAAGCAAATCGTCTTCATACCATAAGAAATACCTGTAGGGTATCTTTCAATACGACATGCATACTATTTGGTTTTCTGTTGTGACAAGTGGAAAGAGAAGGGAAGTTAGTAACATCTGATTATTACTCCTCTTAAGTTTTAATTTCCTCTGGCTCTGCTCACCCTCGATTTATTACTTTGTGACTAAATTACCAATTGTGAGTAGTTTGGAGCAGGGATCTATAACTAGCGCTAGTAACGTCATACACTTAATGCGGTCTGAATAAGGATAGCAAGAGCTTGCACATCTGCAAATATTTGGAACAAACTGAGCTTTATTTGTGCTACAGTAAAAAAGCTGCTTTGTGTAGGACTGACAAAATGTCATAAGCTTTCTCCCACAAACTTTAAGGACGATGTGTGATCTCTGCACGTGTGAAAGAGCTGCAACCAATTACCAATCACAGTATTTAGCAGAAAAATCCAAATATCTTCCTACACTAGTGAGCAGCATCTATTGCGTTTGGATCGGTAGAGAATATAGAAGGAACCATCTGAAAATTCAGGAATATATTTGAAGCATGCTAGTGATGTTTTAGTTACCGTCATCATGTCATCACATTTCATGTCTGGTTCATCTTCATCTTCGCTTTTGTTGTAGAATTTGCGGAAGAAGTTGAACGCCACAACAGTGTAAAGATACACTACTACAGCCAGGAGTCCTACAGTAAGCACAAGCTGTGTATAGAAAAATGACACCAAAGTAGGGTTCAGTTTTATTCGGTTAGAGCAGCTGAGCCAGATCAGTGTATTGCCTTAAATATTGAAAATGTATCATCATATTATACCTTTCCCAAGAAGGGAACTACAGATAGCAGTTATGATAGCTTTGGGATATCCTTATTGCTTGGGTCAGCAGAGCGGTAAGTGGTGTTCTACCCTGCTCTCATGTGAAAACCATATGGAAAATGGTATCAAGAAGTTGCAATTGTTTCCATATTTCTAAGCAATATGCTTACAAACTATGTATCACTGAAGCAATGTTTTCAGTATACAAACTATGTATCACTGAAGCAATGTTTTCAGTATTCCAGATAAAAGCGAAATCTGAGTAACTTCAAGAACTGCATATATAGTAGAAATTAAATTATTAAAAATAAATCTCTCTAATTCGATACATAATTTTAACTCTGACTTAGTATGACTTATCATAGACTATTTTCTGCATCAAAGGTAGTTAGCAAATTCACCTCTAAAGTGAGACATAATTTCTTAGATAAAGAAAAAATGATTTCCAGGTCTGGCTTTTAAGGAAATAAAATCCTTAGGTGAAAAAGTTTAACACTTAATAGATGATATTGTTTGTTGGCATTACAGTATGCAAGAGGTAGCAGTGGGCTTACTGAGGGCTACATATTTTTAAAAGCATAACAATTTGTATTACTTTTTTAAAAGAAATGTAAGCATATTGAACAATGAGTTGATCTTCAGTTTATCAGTTTCTGCAGATCTGAAGTATGCTCCTGAAGTGTACGCTTCAATTGGAAAACCTGTAGTTGTCTTTCAGTGATCGTGTTTCTGCTGACAACACCAACAGTGTCGAGAAATGCTGATCTTTGCTTGTTAAGAAAGGTAAGGTTTCTCAAAGCCGCGGTCTAGAGTTGAAACAGTTTTGTCAATTATGCTTCGTTTTGGAGGATGCTTTCACATTGATAAAAATCTCATTAAAAAGATATACCAATCATTAAATTAAAGGTAATATAACTCTGGTCATCCTGGAGGAAAACAAAGGGAACAAAAATACGTATTTAATTTGTTGTTCAGGTGATACTGAAAACATCACCACATGTAATGCTTTAGTAAACTGTACACTTGACAGAGCGTAAGAGTGGGTTTATAAATATATGTTACTGCACTTGGGAAGGAATGGAAACCACCTGAGATGCAATTTTGGGGAAGTTTTGTTAGGAGAAGATTCCTCAAATGCGAAGGAGAAAAAAAAATGAGGTGTGTTAGTGAAAAGCATGTATTTCTTGGTATGCTAGCTAGGAACACGGAGCAGGAATCAAAGAATGACTCCCTGCCTAAGTCTGCCTAAAAAGCAGATTTTATTAACCTGACTTTTGCAGGATTTACTTAGAGACATATAAATATGTTCCACAATGCAGAATGCCCATACCTGTAAGTAAGCACATTCTTATTAGCTAAGTATTGAAATCTCAACAGCACCCAGATCATTATTACTGCAGTAGCTGAGAAGAGATTGTGGATTCTTAGTTACCATCAATCTCACTTCATCAATGATCATATGAAAGGAGTTGGCTAGGTCATAATTCATATTCTCATATTTTTCTAAAATGATAGGTCTTGACATCGTATGCAAAACATCTTTAGCTATCAGTGCCCTCTGAGTATAGATTATTAGAATTTTACAGGACTTCACATGTATTAACAGTGCTGCAGAAGACACAGCAGGGTTTATTCTTTGCTCTTTTCATGGTCCGAACGGATTGTGATCCAACATTGTCCAGGTACTGCAAGATTTTTTTCCAGTACCATTACAAAATCCACTCATTTTCAAACCTGTATGTATAACACTCACCTGTTTGCCATTGTGAGTTACTGAAGATAGAATGGTTCGCAATGTCTTGAAACCCATAGCAATATCCAGCAGATGAGCAGCAAAGAAGAAGTTGTTGTAGTGCCCAAGGATAGACATAGTGGTGTACCAAGCTAAGTATAAAAATGACTGCAGAGAAAGTGAAAAGTAGCAGAACGTTAGCAGGTACTAATGTGTGTTATTGGATCTGGAATACAGCATTCTTTTACTCACTCAATTCATTTATGAAATTAAGTAATACTATCATCATCTGAATCACATTTTGAATGTAATACCTCTATTTTACACATACAAAGTGATTGTGTTAACTTTGTCTCTTAAGATCTCCACAGTTCATTTAAAGCTTGCGTGTTTATTGCTTAGTTATGTTAATGAAACCTTTATTGTTACATATTTAACTGTGGTCTTCAGCATATATGTCATTAACATCAAAATTCCCTACCTTAAAATAATTTTGGTTGGCGAGCTTGTTACACAGTACTTTATGTATTAATATTAATTCTGGAGGAGAGAAAATTCATTGTATTACTCTTAGGCACTTTGTGCTGCTTAAGTTTCAGACCATGTCAGCCAGGAAACCCAGACGGCACATCATGTGGCTTATTATTTTAAAGAGTAATGAATTTGAAGCCACTTTGACTTAAGAGCTCGTATTCAAGAAAAATAGTGCAGCGTGCTTTTCGTCAGTGCACAATGAATTTATACCTCTTCACTTTATTCACCTAGACCTTGTCTATGGGAATGCTCAAGAACATGTGTGAAGCTCTTATTCACAAAAAGGAATTTTGAAAATGAGCTTGGGCTTTTCAAAAGAGAAGGTATGAAAGAGGAGGATTAATCCATGAAGTCAAACAGATAATTCAAGAATAACAAAATATAACTTTCTGTAGACTTTGCTTGGTCTAAGAAAAGATGTTGTCTTTCGTTGCTAGAGTGATAAATACCAAATTACGTGAATGTATCATTAACTTCCAAAATCCTGACATTGTATTAGTTGTGCAATTGCACATCGCCCTTTGGAATCAAAAATAAATACTCTAACACAAATATAATTTAAAGCAATTTGCTGCAGCACAAGATAGGAAATAACATATTTTGTATTGGTTGTGTAATTCAGTACTATTTATGTATGTTATGTTTGTTTATTAAAAAAGTAGATGATGTTTCCACATTCATGTTTAAAGTAGATCAAAGTATGTTCTTCTAGGTTTAACCTACTTACGTTATCAGTGAAAACAACACCAAGCTTCCAAATATGGTACTTCATATCAATGGAGCTTAACCTAGGGAATATCACATTTTTGGAATATATAAACATCAGAATAAAGTACTTAATGGTTATGATAAATTTCATTTTCTTAAATTAAGTTCAACCGTCTAAGCATATCTTTGCATAATAACTAAACAAATAACTAGTATTTTTTCCTTCAGAAAGAATAAACAATGAACTAGGCTTGCCACTTCACATTTGTTTGCTGAAGGCTGTGATGAACAGTAGCTGTTTCTTTTTTGAGTCATATAGAGGTTTCAGCAGATTTCAGAGAGAATTCATTAATACATTCTAAGCCATTGAAATTGTTGGAACAATTTCAAGCAGGTAGGATACTGCCCTATTCCAGACTTGCAAAAATTAATTCTGTCTGGTGCAAAATGTTGCAATATTACCACGAGAAAAGCTAATGCCTTCCGTAAAGTTTGAAATGTTTCAATAGCCATCAGATTACTTGTGAACAAAATTCCTTTCTCATGTGCGACATAGGAATAGAAGAAACCAAACTCTCACAGGAGCCTAAATCATCAGTGAAACAGGACTTGAATGACTTACACACTTTCAATCTCTTATCTTCATTAATTCAAAGATGGAAGCCACAAATCACCTCTGCATTCTTTTTCTAAATATATGTTATCAGTAGATTTTTTTTGTCCTTACGTTTTAAACTAACTCTGAGTGAACACCTAAAGAACATTTAGATGTTGCACTGTTGTTTAAAATAAAGTGCCCAACTATTTCAATCATCATCATTTACGATTTTTTCTTATTTTTATAACAGAGACATATGTACATTTTCTTAAAACGTGTGTTTATTTTGCTTCCTCACTAAAAAGACTTAACCATCTGAATTTTCAATGCGGAGGAAAAAATCACTGCAATCTCAGTACAGAATCTGTTTTCATCTTTGACAGTGAACATATGCCAACATATGATTTTGTTTGTTTGTCTGTAAAGTCCAGAAATCGTACCATGATACAAGAGATGCCTCTTCTGGTTCGCTCTCTTCTACAGGACTAAAATCAAGGGCATTTTTGTCCAAACCCAAAAGTTCTGCTATGCGCTCTGCTCCGTATAAGTCCCCGTACTTGTTAATAACCTAAAAATGGAAGAAGAGAAGCTTTTGCACAGAGTAAGACATTGGAGACATTCACTCTTCCCCAAGCCAGTAGTTGTCAGAAATAAAACAGTCATAACGCTACAAGAACAGTGAGAATTTGCAGGAAGCCAGGGGGGTTGAGGGTAAGAGTACAAAAAAGAAAAATAGAAGCATTAAAGGCTATTATCTGAAAGCTTCTGTATAATTTGCAATCATTTAAACCGGCATGTTTTTCTTTTTTTCGGGGGATGAGGGGGCTTTGTATCCGAAAGATGACAACAGCTGTAAATTAGAACTGGGTGGCTGATTGACAGCACCAAGTTATTTAGAACGTATGCATCTGGGAACTAAACAAAAACGTTCTTTCTTTCTCCTTCCTCCCACCTCTGCTACAACTGCCTCTTAACTCTGAGATTTACCACAACAATGACTTCCATAAAATAAATTTCTGTTCTCAATTTTTTGTGTATTTGTGTGTACATAAATACATTATATGTAGATATCCAAATTAACTGACTAGTAGGTTATTACTATGGCTAACATAACAAAAATATAAAAAGCTTACCTTCCGTTTTACAAATTTGTCCCAGTAATTGCTAGGAAAGGACCTGCATAGATAGGGCAAAGATATTTCAAGTTATTTAATTTTTATGGGAAGGGAAAAAAAAAACAAAATAGAAGGAAATGGCATGTTCATGATCACTGCAGATTTTGGTACAATTTTGTTCACTTACACACTGCACTTTGAATGATGAGAACAATTTCTTTTGATGCAGATGGGAGTTGTCAGGACAACCTGTGGCCTATTTGAATTTATGATTCACTGCAACATCATCTTTCTTTTTTCCCTTCCCTTTTTCTCAGCCATAAATATCACGACTGGCTACAAAAGACAGCAGGCTAAATATTATCACTTAGTGATCCTAACGGCTCAATAATAGCAGAGTTGTCACTGTAATATCACTGATCTCCTAAATAAAGCCTTTACTGTGCCCAACCACAAGATCAGGACGGACAAACAAGCCTTGCATTTTGTGATGAAAGTATTAGAGTTTTGCAGTATGAATCATTTTTCACTTCACTGGATTACATTGCAATTTGACGTTGAACACTGAGGAACCAGTAGACGGTCTGTAAACAGATGACATTAACATTCAAAAAATATTCTAAAATATAGAAAATTGCTATGATCATTTGGAAAAAAACAGGGATTATGGGCAAGCTTGTTCTGAGGTGTATCCTCCTTAGATCCTTACTGGATCTGAAATCCCAGAACAAGACCAGATTAAAAACAAAAAAATTTACAATTTTAAAGCTTCAAGAGACTTCATGAAGCTAATGGGTGTTTTGCATCTTGCCCCCCGCTCCCTCTCCCCATCCCCCCCCACCTCAGAACAGCCATGTCCACTGTGCTAAGTAAAACAAAACCTGTTGTGCATGAAAAAGAAAAATAAATGGAGCAGTAAATCTTAAATATTTAAGAGGTGTGAGGCTGGCTGTTCTTGAAAAATTCTATGCTTTTTGCATAGTAGTGATCAACCATAATGCTTCACAAAGCAACCAGTTTTATCAGTGGGAGATCTTACAACAGACACTAGGAAATACATCAGTACGTCAGCTTTGACCTGCAAGAAAAGATGATAATTTCCCTGGCAGTACCTATGTTTTATATTCTTTCTTATCAGGCTAGCAAAGTTTCCCTGATCTTCAGCCTGATCATGACAAGTATCGTTCTTGAACTGCCTTATGAACAGCCGTGCCTAGGACTTCCTCATTCTGTCGGTTTTGCTATGTTTGATGTCAGCTAGGAAGAACTCGACAATAAAAGCAATAAGGTTTTTCTCTCCGTCTCCTGGATGAGACATGAGAATTGCAGTTATCAGAGTGAGCAGTGTAGAGGTCTCTCTGTGCTGCTTAACAAAATCAAGTCTAGTGCATGTAAATATACAAGAAGGTAAAGAAGAAAAATAACTGCTTAATCTGAAGGACAGTATTGGTAAAACAGAAGAAAGCCTTAACCAGAAGACTGACAGTCTGGAACGCTGTTCTGCTCTGAAGAGTTGAGGCAAACTTCTCAACTCATATTAAGATGGTGCTTGATTTCTGATTTTATGAATGACTTTCTGAATGAAATTACTCCAGACAACTGTTTCAGATAAAAGGCAAATAATTTCAGTTACTCATACAGTATATTCTGGTCCAGTGCTCTACAGTCTTATTTCTGTCCTCGGTTTCTGAGACTTTTAAGCAAAGTCTGTCTCTAATATAGCCAGCTTGCGCCAATGTCTTGTACAGTAAACATATAACTGTGCTGCATTTAGGGTACCTCTTTCGTCCCATTACTTACCTCTTCAGCTTATGAAAAGGACATTTCAGCATATAAACAGCAGTAGGTATCCTGAGGCTATAACCACTGCACTAAACCTGGAGAATCAGTTCATATCAGAAGGAGGGTTTAATCAGCTTAAATTAGACCATATCTTTTACTCAACTTCAGTAGATAGAGCAACATGCTGAAAACAGGCTGTACAGGATGTCCTTTGGGATAAGCTGACAATATGTCTCGTTAATTTATGCTGATTTCTACTGAGAATAGGCTTGCTGACTGTCTAGTAGCTTGATTTCAATAACACAGGTTGGAAATTAAGCAAACTCTCCATTTTCAAAATGGAAGAAAAGAGGTTTTTCCTCTCAGTTTCCAGCACAGCTGAAGTAGCATTTACAATACTCAAAAGCTTGCCCATAGCCCTTGAGGAGCTGGTGGCCTACAAGGATAGACTCTGCTAGCAAACTTGTCATGCTCTGAGGTAAATGGCAAAATAGTCTTGTTTGGCAAGAACTCAAATCACAAAGCTGAATGTAGGTTTTAAGTTGTTGTTATTCCTCTCAGATATCTTAGATCTTCAGGGGTAAGAGGAAATGCAGAAGGCTTATGTTAACTGCATAGATTAAAGGATCCACTACTCAAAATTATGCAGAAATTTGAGACCTCTCTGGTCTCATAGAAGAAAATATCTGAAAGACTGTGGAAAAACTGCATTTTTCTGTCTTCTGTGCCAGCACAAGAACATGAAGATGTTTATAAATTGAGCACAGGGCTTTTTGAAAAGCAGTGCTCAAGAGCAATTAGTTACATGTCAGAATTCCCGAGACAATTAGGGAAGCAGGTGGTAAGTTTACTTCTCAAAGACCAGAATGGATTATTAGCTTTAGAAACAAGTCTTCATTGCAACCAGTCAGCTGGTTTTTAAGAGCTTTGGGCTACAGAGAGGTGGGAATTTCTGTCATATCCATATTAAGGCATCCAAAGAGCATAGGATCTGCTGCGGAAGGTATCTTTTGAGAAACAGTGTTATATTACATTGAAAACAAAATTAAAAGGGTACAGCAGATTTTCAGACAAAGATAGATAAGATAATCTTACAGAGGAGAGTTAGTTTCTAAGCGATGTTTACGAGGGAAGTAGCAAAACAATTTAGAAAACCGGAAGGAGCTTTTATAACTTTGGATCATTCATCTAAATTTACTAAGTTCTGACTGATTAGAATACTGTTCACTGGCCCTATAAAATATTTTGTTTCAAATTATATTCCATCTCATGGTAATTATTCCAGATGGTGCTCTTGACAGCAGTTTCAGTGTAAGTTGATTTTGCCAGCACAGAGCAAGCCTGCACTTCTGGTACCTATACTATTACTATCTTGCACATGTGTCATTAGAAGTATCAGTCTGTCAATACTAAATCAGGAAGTCAGCTTTCTGTAAATGATATAGTATATGCTCATCAAGGGTAAAACTAAACCGTATGGTTTAGTTGCTCCAGTTCAGACCTCGCATTTATTTTCACTCAGTATTTGAAATTTGTCATTGGTACGTTCTCCGATTCTTCAATTTATGTCTTTTTACCTCACAAAAATCCATCAGCCTGATGTAGCTGATGTAGCTTCCTTAGGAAGTTAGTGCCTAGATTTGGGAATCCCCTGCTGTAATCTGTTTAATGTGACCTAAGCCTGTGCAAGTACTGGCTGAAACACATCACAAAGAACAGAAAAACAAAAAAGTGAGAAACTCCTCCTCATTCAGCTCGTTCATCTTAGAAGAGCTATTCAAAGCTTCTGAGGTCAAAGAAAGTCTGTGGATATTACATATTCTGCAAAACTTATCTCGCCAAAAGGTGGCTTAAGTCAGCTGTCAGTGACAAGGACAGAAAACGAGGCTGTCTGGGTACTACCACAGTATTGCCAAAGAGACACAAAGACATCAAGATTTTTCTACTTCAGAGGGCATCGTCTGGTTCACTTACTGTGTTAAGTCTGGCTAACCCAAGACACACGGGATTAAAGAAGTCTCACAATGAACAGTGCCTTTTGGACTCCCCAGAGTAACCACAGGGAAGAAAATACATACTCTAATAAAAACACACTCCATGAAATAATAAGCTTTCCATACTAGCACTGCTATCGCATACTATTATCGTTTGCTTGATATCACTGCTGTCGAATGCTGTATTTAACTTAACTCGTCTTTGTGTAAAGATTATCTAAAAGCACCTCTTCATTATGCATTTGAGGTTGCCCCACAACAGTCGTCTTCTCCATGACTAAGTTTTTGTTCATATCCCAAAAAGGTGTGATCAGGTTCTACTGCCTCAAACCCATCTGTTATTTCAGCAACTTCCCAATTCTTCTGCTTCAGATGTCCAACCTTTGCAGAAGGCTTCTTCGCATTTTACAGAGCTGCTGGGCAACTGGCTCTGTCTCTGATCAATTAGATACTGTCTCATTTATAGGAATTGAAAATTTCTCACAGTGAAAGAAGAAAATATTAACATCATCCTTGGAAAAGTATGAATACAGTAGACGCTAGTTACACCATTACAGTTGTCTGACTTTGTACCACTATTGCTGAATGAGGAGTCAGCATGAAGAAATAAAGAAAGGAGCTGAAGAATGAGAAAAGGTTGGATGGTAGTCAACTGCTATCTGCCAAAGGGAAGGCAGAGGAGAAGGTAAATTTTATGCTGAACTGAGCCATAGAAATTACACAAATATAATTTCCTATTGTTATTCAAGTCTGTACTTACTCAGAAATACAAATACTATCTTTTTCAAATATCTATACAAATATTAATAACACAAATCACTTAAGTGCATACATTTAATTTAATTTAAATTAAACAGCAGCCACACTACTGCCAAGACTATATATGCTATCCCCATAGCAGAAAGGAAGCCATAAGTAATATAGGGAAACAAGAAAAATTCCCTATTATCAGAGAAAACAAATAAAACCAAACTTGCAAACTGAATTCAGCTGTGACTGACAACACATTTTTCTGAGAAACATATCAAAAATAGAATGGCTTCTCAGTTTATTACTCTGTATGTTATTACACTTTCTAGCATTTAGTGATCTACATACAAAAATGAAAGAGCCCTCCATATTTTAAAAATACTTTAGCAGAATTTTAAAACAAATTTCAAGTAATCTTTTATTGCAACTTTAATAATACATGCTAGTCTGTAGTTCAAACTGAAATTAATGAAAACTTCTTAAGATTTAGCTGTAGGAAAACAAAGCATTCAATAATTTCTCATATTGTAGAGATTCTAATGTTAATGAAAATGCTAAGGGCACTATTTATAATAACTATATTCAAAAATTGAGTATGATTGGTAAGATAGATATTTTGACTATGTGTATTTTGACTATGTGACAGCATATCACGATCACTTTTGTGCATTGAGTTGATGATTTCTGAGGGCTTGTTTTTATTGAATACTTACTAATGCCTGCACATATTTAAATAATAAATGCTTTATGACTTGCAAAGAACTTGATACATCTTTGCTCTTTCGCAAATTTTCTCTTACTGTCCTTAAACTAGGAGACTGATAGGGAAGGACAGAAATCTAAGCCTAGGTATACCATTTCCAAGATGTGATTCTAATTGTCTTGAAAGACTAAATGATGAAAAATAGCCTGTAGACTAGGCATTATTTCAGGAGAAAAGCATTAATTTACCATACTTCTCTGTGTCATTGCCTCCACATATACAGATTTCCCCCCCCTCCACAATTCTGTGTTTTCTCTGTTCATATGAGAAAAGGCACAAGATAAGCTGGCTCTGTTGTTACTTCTGGCATCCCTGAAAATGTGTGATATATTGCTGTAACATATATTTATGTGCTTTTTGATGAAAAACTAAACCCAGCTTCAGCTACGTACACACATTTCTGCTGTTTATCAGTTTGCCAAGGGAGTACATGAAAGAGATGAAGGGAACTGGTATGTTAAATTTACTTGACTTTTTAACTGCCGTAGGACCTTGCTTATAAAAGTATCTAAAAGTAAAGGCTGTACATGAATCTCTTCAAACTACCTAGTGCTGTTTTCACTCTGTTAAACTGAGAAATAATCTGCTTGACTACATTTGCTAATGGTGATTTAGAATGGCTCATATATCCAAGCTATTGTGGCAGTTCAGTACCTAGAGCGGAGAAAGAAAAACAGTGACCTCTTGGACAGATTGCTGCAGCTCAGCACAAAGAACATACTATATGTTTCTTTCTCTTGCCTACCTTTGTAGCTTTCACACACAGAACAGCAGGTGAATCTCCTAAAATCGGTGTACGACTACTACACTTCTTGTTAAAGCATATAACCTGACAGTACTATCTGTCAGACCTACTCTGGGAGTTCTGGGAATGCTATTTTACACTAGATTTATGTCTCTTATCATATACAGATTTTGCTGGAGAGAAGAGGGAAAGGAGGGCAGTAGAGAATACTGCTGTATAACATGAATGTGAAATTGAGTCAGGAAAAAGGAAGTATGCTATCTTTTAAAGCCTTCTCACAAGTGACTAATTGGTGAAACATCTTGGGGAGGGCTTGAAAGGGAAAACGCACACATCTTGCAAACTCTAGAACAATACAGAGGATGGGGAAAATACATCCCTGTTATGATAATATTTATTAAATAAACAGATAATACAGGATTTCACATTAGAATCGACTACCATTGCATCCAACATAAGGTGAAAAATACATTTCTTTTAGACAGACTAGCGGGCATGTGGACAGGTAAGGCTTAGTGAACTACCATATTTATAAACAACTAAACATATAACCATTTAATTTTACTTACGGAGTGTTTATAACCAGGCGGTCCCATTGTCCTTTAATATCATCCTCAGATGGCTGTTCAGTTATGTACAGACCATCAAATTCCAGCTTTCTAGCTACTTCCTTCTCTCTCTTGAATACAACCAGAGGAACCTATAAAAATGATAGTGGACATGTTTGTTACGGTTAACACATTTTTAGAAGCTGTGATATCTACCTACGGTATTAAGTAGTCTTTGCATCACACTAGCACCCTGAGGACTAGATACACCAGTCAACGATGTTACTGTGAACGACGTTACTGAAGAACGATGTTCTTATCTCAGCCCTAGGGTGTATTTCTGCCTTTCTGCCTTCTTATTACTGACCAAGAAACTCAACAGCTCTTGGAACAAGACCATCAGTAATATGCATATATTCATGCTAAATAACAAAACTCAGCTTTTAGCATAAAACAAAAATTAAGATTCTAGACACTGCTGCATTCACTGCCCCGGCTGTATAATCTTGGGGAACAGCTGAGACTCTTGCTGGTAGCAGTGGTAGTATTGATACAGTATAACTCTGAATTCCAAAATCAGCAAGCCAACAATAAAAGGGAAGGAAGAGGAACTGAGAAAGATGGGTCACCGTGGCAAACTAGGATAGGTACACTTAACTTCCTTCATAATTTCATACAGAGTAAGTTTGCCACTACTCCCCAAAAATTCAAAAAGTAGCTGGAAGCATTACTCCTTTTCTTTTCTCAGATTATTTTCTCATAACAGAGAGGATTAGATTAGTGTAGACAAAAATTGTCTATCAGTATTGTAAAACCCTGTGCTCTCAACTCTGAATTGCTTAAATGACACTGTAATGTGCTTTAGTACTGCCTCACAGGACGGAATTACCTACAGATACTGAGGAAAACATCTGAATATTAAATTGTAAGTATCTAGATAAAAATAGGTACTCCCGATCTCAACTCCAAAAGTCACTTTGGGACAGACAGACTGTCCTTTAATAAACACAGATTAGTAATCAGATTCAGAACTTGCCTTTAAGCAATAGTATCCAATCACACAGACAAAGGAGATAATAGTATGAATAACTGCCAGTGCTCTGAGAGTAGGTGCCATGTAACCTGTACTTTCTTCTAAAACAAAAAACACCATGCCCTCCTCCTCTTCCTCTTCATCAAAAGAGTTCCAGAGATTAGAGTCTTCCTCTGCTTCATCAAGTGGCTCTTCTGTTACCTAAGAGAAATTCAACAACATTAAAAATACACAAGAAGCTTAAAAGCTTTTCCTCCAAATAAATATTTTTTCCTGTATTATAATTAAAAATCCCTAATTTCTTCCAAATAACTGATGTTTGTTAAGTCTGCTCTGCTGAAGATAATAGAGTATTAGCTTTGAAAAATAGTGCCCTTCAGTTTCAGAGCAAGAGCAGCAAGTCTCCTGTATTGTATCACTGAAAAGAGAACCTAGAAAAAAAGCAAGTATTGGCATATCACCATTTACAAATCTCTCCTTTAACAGTGCCATAGTGAAAACAAAACAAACAATAAAAAAGCTATGCAGAAATGTATTATGACAGGAATCAAACAAAGATGGGATGATCTGATATGACTGAATTCGGGGTTTGTTTTATAATCTATATTATTTGTGATTGCTAAACTGTAAGAAGAAACAAGATTGTCTTGCTATCAACTCATGCATTGCCCACGAAATTTTATTTTGTTGCTTAGTTTAGAACTTACAAATTAATGTAGCACTTAATTAGTATTTCATAAATATCCTAAGCCATAAAACTGCCATACTGCCCTACATTCTGCCACCAGTGTTAGAAAACTGGCTTTTAAAGTAAAAGCCGTTAAGTGTCTGTCTTCTGACAGCTTTCTCTGAAAACCCAGGTCCCTTCTGTCCAGTTTCAGCTCCTATGGACCCTTTCCTGTCCACGATGGATTAACTTGTATCGATGAATATGAACTTTTGTCCTCCCTCTGCAATAGAGTTGTTGGCTCACCCACAAGACTCAACGAAAGCCATAAAGGAGTGGGGGAGAGAGGGCTGGCAAAGAGAGAATCACACTCCTCTGTATTCCAGTCCACCATCTCTAACCGAATGGGATTGGAAAAGAGAGGCAAGAAGGGAGACTAAGTAGCCCTGACTCTCTCTCTCCTGAAACGGCCAACAGAAATTCTCCCCAGTTTTCAGGTGCCTTTTGTGTCTTTGTCTGCCCTCTCTCTCCGACTATACTGGTATGTAGGAGTTGTTTTTCAAGATATTTGAGATCAGGATTCGCTTCTTCATAGACTTAATTGGCAATGTTCAGCAGGCTACTTTTGTCCTCTGTGGACTTCTTGGTTGGGAACAACAGAACTGGGAAATGTAATACTGGAAAACATGAGACTCATCAGCTTATTGCAACTTGCACCCCACATCTAGTAGGGAGAAGACCACCACGTAAAAGGCCCATGTTCCAGGTTAAAGACAAACCAGGACTTTTCACATGGACATCAAACAGGAAAAATTATGACTTTTAAAGGACAGGAGTTCTCTTTAGTGAATTCTACCCCTTTGGATGGAGCGATGTTGTGGAGACTTGGGAATAAAATTAGTGAAGACTAGCTACTTTGTATCATTTGGGTTGTATATCAGAATCTGAAACAACTTCTTGGTTTGGTTCCTAACTTAATGTTAAACCTAACATTAGGTTTGAAGTATGTGTGCATAAACTTCCTCACCATCGACTTTAAAAAAAGAATTGTAGCCAACTATGTAAAGGCATCTTTTGCTTTGTATTTATTTTGCCTGCTTATGCTGATCAATTAAAACCCCAATCTCAGTAGAGAAATATCTTAATCACAACAGTCACTGATTAACAACATACTGGCAATGACAACACAGAAAATAGAAATAAGTATGAAAACAGAATTACACACTCACAAGGAAACACAGTTAAGAAGGGGAAAAACATACATTTGATCATCTTCTTTTGGTGCTTGAGTTATTTTAGTCAGATTTCAGCTTTCCCATGACAAGATTTACAATTCAAATGTTAACAGACTTATGTGAATGAATGGAAAAAATGCCTAGAACTCCACTATACGAGATAAATGATTCACTGATCCTGAGCAAAATAAAAACAGGTTTAGTATCTCAAAGTTTCGTTATGAAGTTTAGAAACTTATTTCCTATATAAATGCTTTTAGTTAGTGCTTGAAGGGCCGCAATAATGGCTTTATTAAACAAACCTTAAAACCAGTATTAAATATTTGAATGAAATAATTTAAATGAAAAAATCGTTTAAAGAGCGGTACAACAAGCATAATCTTACCTTGTAAAATAGCAGGATAAAGTTGATGGCAAATGCAACAAACAGAGCAAGAAATCGTAGGTTATAAAAATTTCTTGCCAAGTAATGCTAGGAAAAAAAGAAAAAAAAAAGAGAGAGAAAAATTAGAGATGATCGGTAGCTTTCCAGATATGGAAAATAGGTGGTAAGGTTTCTAAGAAAGTAAATATAAGATTGTATTGCTTTGGATTGCCTTCATATGATGGTTAAAAAGAGTAAGGTCATTTTCTGGCAGTCTATTCTCCCATTCCATGGTAAATAGGATTAAAAATAATAGGCTTAAAATTACAACGGAGAAGACTGAAATACAATATTAGGGAAAACTTTCTAGGAGTAATGACAGAGAAATACTGGAATAAACTACTTGAGCTGGTTGCAGAGAATTCTTCCTTTGACATTTTCAAGAACAAAGAAAGATCTTATATAGGGCACACAATGCTCAAGAGGTTACCTAATCCATTCTGTTAAGTCAAGGTAAAAGAAATTATACATATGTACCTTCATTCTTATAATGCTATGAAGCATTACAAATATCACAAAATAATCAATACAGTAAAATTTTTGAAAACTCATGCCAACGTTCGTTTTATAATGAAATTTCTCTCTCCAATTTCAAACATTCTTAATATACGTTCCATATTATATAAATAAAAAATTCAGTGACTAACAGAGTTTCAGTAAAACGTACCAGCATTTTTGTCTGATAAATTTCTAAAGCTTTAAAGAAGTTAGCCATAACAGCCTCAGGTTTCTCAATTTTCTGTCCGTGCCTTCGCTTCTTTTTCTTCGTTTTCCCCTCTTCCAGATGCTCAGATTGTACTTCCTTTGCTTTGTCTTGTTTTTCACCATCTTCCATGCTAGAAGAAAGGTTAGCTAAACAAAAATACCTAAACAACCTTGTGTATTATAAAAGTTGCCATTTAGAAAGAATTCTAATTCGGAAAGGTTGGCTTTGCATGCAGACTATTTTGAGACAGAGAGTGGAGGTCACTGTAAGTAAAGATTTCAGATAGAAAATAAACCCAGAGTCAAAAAGTGACCTTAGTTCCAAGTGATATAAAAGAACAACAGAGTTGCTGAGTGAACGCAGGGTAGATCAACAAGGGAAAAGGCCAAACACTGGGCTGAAGTTACTGCACCAAATGTAAAGTGGATAGCTGTTTGCCGCCAAATCCAGTGATGCACAGGCATATTCAATAAAAGCAATATAAAAACTGTAAGAGTTCATGTGTAATTTCTGGAACCTGAGGCTGAAGAAAAGACAGAAATATTTCAGGATATAGTATGCAATATTATAATAAACGAAGTTCATTTCAGTCAAAGAAGTCACTGCTGTTAAAGGGATGCATGAGTAATGAAGGGGAAATTTCCTTTAGAGAGTTCTGCCTTACAAAATATGAAGATGACAATCATTCCTCCTCTAAAAAGGAGCTGCTTCTATGAAAAATGAGTATCAAGACTAAACGTAGTAGGAAGGGGATTTAGTTATTAAAACCAATAAAAGCTGAATTTGCATATACATTTGAGAACGTAAAGGTATCAAGGTGTCAGAAAGTTTTAGGCGTGAGGATAAAGAAACGCAGTATGCGGTTCAAGGTAGTACCAGTGCAGCAAGAAATATGATGGACGTCTAAGAACGTGTTTATTGTTTTACAAATGAAATACCAGGGCTTATACATATTCTGAAATGTCCTTGTTACAACCTCAGAAATGTAAGCCACATAGAGAAAAGCTGGTTATGTTTACTAGGAACTGGGGAGTGAAAAAGTTTAGAGATTGTTGACTGTCACTCTTTACACAACCAAAAATTAGTCAGATGGCTTGCCAGGAAGATTGACTGAAGTGGAAGTAGATGTTTAAAGTCAAATTTTTTAACTGAAGGCAATTTCAGTTTGCTGAAAAAGTACTTAAGTGGAGAATTAAACATGACAGACAATAGAAAAAAGAAGAAAACAGGAAAATAAGTTCAATAAAATAATACAAGGAGAAAAAGATCGTGTTTATGAAAAATAAAAGGTGAAAAAGCCTAAAATAAGAAAATGAGCAGCATAGAAGATTTTGGGTGAATTGCTAGGTATTTATAAATTGCTTCTCTGAAGCACTGATAAATATACTTTTAGAGTCTAGGATCAGAAGACCAAAATGAGTCAGCAAAGAAGGGGGAAAAAAAAACCCAAAACAGAAGTATGATCCAACAAAACTTTTACAAAGGGTGATTTAACCAATCTCAATAATTCCAACTTAATATCATGGTCTGGGCAAAACAACAATTTCTGAAACTGCTTATCTTTAAGCATAAAAATGAGAAGTCACTGTCTTCATCCTGAGAAATGCTCATTAACAGATTATTTGGATTCTTGATACAGAAGAACATAAAAATGCGTAAGTGCACTTAGCAATTAACAGAAGTGCTCTAAACAAAGAAAATAATATGCTTAACATCTCTGCAGGGATCGTGGGGGAGACAAATCATGTCAAAACAATTCTGTGACAGTAAAATGCAAGGAGAGGACTTTCTTTAATGAAGAAATGAAAAATATACTGAACCATCACGGACGATGTTGGTGACATACTTCAATGAAGTCACAGAAAAAAAACGTAAATACATATGTGCGTGTGCACATATATAAGTATGTGCATGTGTATATTATATATGTATAGGCATGTGCACATATACATATACATGTAGAGCAAAGGAAGAAAACTATAATTTTCAGACAAGCTATACAAAAAGTATCTGGTCCTAAAATATTGACATATATTAAAATAAACTTTGGCAGAGAAGAGGAGAAAGATGAATGGGGATAAAGTAAACATTTCAAAAATGAACCACATTACAAAAGGAAGAAAAAAAATTGATGGGTAGTATTTAAATATGCAGGTATCTCTAGGAGATGTTCTGCATGTGTCTACAAATATTTTAAAGGCATTTATATAGATTGCAAATCTGCTGTGTGGCTGCAGGTCCAGAAAGATAGCATGGCTCTCATGAAATTAGGATGCTTCTAAGGCAAGGAAAGCATTTCAAAAGCTATTTGTAGGATAACTGGATGAAGGAATATATCCGCTTCAAGTTCACAACTGCTGCTAAAAACACTCAAGAAGAAAAGAATAGACGTAGCTACACTTTTAGGTTGAACTAAGAATAAAAAAAAATGTTGAGGTAGTCAAATCTTGTATTTCAATGATTACCCATTGTCCTATTTATTGCTTGAAAACTCCAGTAGTTAGTAAGGTAAGCATGAACAGCAGCAACGAAAAGTGGTAGAGTTTTTTCAAGATCGGTGCTCATTTTTAAGGGTCGTTGCAGGATTTTGTAAAAGATAATGATTGTTGATTTACATACGCAGTATTGTCAGGGTCCTCCAAAATGAAATTAGCATTTTGTAGCCCGCTGGGATGGATGACCACCTCCTGGGGATTGTGCTACTCTCCAAAATACTGATGAAGTGTCTTGAACACTGAGTATTGATCAGTTTCTTTCTGGCCAAGTTATCTAACATTACCTAGAAGTTGCAAGGAATTAAAGAGCAAGTGCGTAAAAATAACTTACTCGGCCTTCTCAGATTCTGTTTTTCTTTCTGTTTCAGCTTCTTTTGCTATTTCAGGTGCCTGTAAGAACATTTTAACTGTCAGAATGGATCCTTTCAAATAAAAGTTCTGGTAACTCTAATTACTATTTTTAAGAAAAAACTAAAATAATCATCACACTATAATTTTTATTAATACCACATTTTCGGTTTTAAAGTGTTAGATTTTTTTAAAATAGGCAGCTCAGACTAGATTTTAACAGTGAAAACTACATAAATTCTTCTAATAACCTTTTATCAGTATAGTGTTAATCAATACTGTAACTAGAGCAGTTGACTGAATAACTTAAAGGAACTATTCAGTGTTTTGAAACAGATTATGTGATCAGTTGAGGAGGAAAGTAACTTTATCCGGATCATACCCTAAAATACAAACGTCACTCACGAAGACTCAGTGCTGTTACTGGTTATGTGGAAAATGAGCATCAATTTGCCTCATTCCAAATATAAAATGAGGAACAATTTATTATAGCAATGACAGCATCAAAACCTGGAAAAGATCTGTGTAATTATTAGGCACTACAAAACCCAGTTACTTTGTCAAGATCAACTAATGCAATCGACATGAGGCAAATATTTAAACAACATGTACTTAAGCAATATTTCTCCTCAAACTATTTATCTTAGGTGGGTAGACGATCCATTAAACCACTACTGGTACACCTCACAACCATCACAGTATTACATTTTACAATAGTCCCTTGAGACAGTGGAAAATCAATATACTATTTTACAGATGGCTAATTGCAGCAGAAAAGCCCAGGCCAGATTTCAAACATCTTTAGACTCATTGTTGCAAGACCAAAGCAATCTCCTTTCAAATGCTGTTCAGGTATCCAGGTTTTACTGAAAATCAAAAAGATGCACCTCACTATTCATTCCTTTCCTTATTTGTTTCCTTACTTCCTGCATGGCACTCAGCATAGATCCCTGTGCAACTTCACAGTAAAAAACTATGTCCTAACAAACAATTTCCACCATAAAGTCATATAAAACTTCACTGGTTACTTTGCAGTTTCTCTGGCTATACAGTAATGCCACTGACCTTACGGCTACACAATTGTTTTTTTCCACAATATAATGGTGAATTATAACCAATTGTGTAAGTTTGTTAACTGTAAATGTTTGTGAAACACATCATGATTTTTGAAGAGAATTTTTGACGCTTGGGTTTTTTGGTTTTTGTTTTGTTTTCGGGTTTTTTTTGAGCTCATTGAAAAGTTACATAAAACACCACTTCTGCTGTAGCCGAATTACTTAAGCAGTTTATATACACAATGTGAATTGCAACTTTTGTAATATAAAATTAGATGTAAACATTATTTTACTAACTGACTTAGCACTAATGACTCACAGAATCCACATAAATTACTGAACATTTTTATCTATAGTTACAAACAAGTCTTAGAGAAACGTACAATTCAGAGAAAAGCAACATGTGTTGAAGAAAATTACAAACTATTTACCCAGACCTCCCAGGGTCTTTAAGTTCAAAAAAGAACACTACGCTTTTTAAATACCAGTCACATTACAGTTATGCTAAATAAGACATGATTTAAAAGGAATGCCATTTTTAGTTAAACACATATAAATAAGTAAGAAAACAAATGGAAAAAATATAGTTCAATCTATAGGCCCTAAACAAATCTTGGAGGAAAACATCTGAATAAAGAGGAAACAATGAACTATGAAGTTGTACGATGGAGATTTATGTTGAAAATATCTGGCAAGCACTCTATATGGCTGGACTGAATCCGATGAGAGGTACTATTTGAATTACAAGTGGAAACAGATCTGTGATGTAGAGTGAAATATGATGCCAAATCTGACAGAGGTATTCGGATTTTGACCTTTAGCTCAGGCCCATTTTTACATAGAAGATCAATAAATTATATTTAGCTTAGAAGAGTGAAGCAAAATAAATAGTTCATAAAACAGAATAAAAGTGAAGTATAAGTCTATGATAAACTTTAAAGTAACAATAAATCCAGGCAAATTATTTCAAGTAATAGGAAACACAAAGGATATTTTCTTGTATATAATCACTAAACAACTAGAAGAAGGAAGTTAAGATGATGATAAAGAATTATTGTGGAAAAAGTATGCTGTAAAGGAAACTGATGTATACTGTAACAAATTGGGGAGTGCAGAATGAAGTATACAAGACTGTAAACTGTTTAAAAGAACAACTGTTCCTAGAAAGCTGCTAGTGTTTTTTGGTTTCACTGAAGTCCAAGTGAACAATAACAGTAATTCACTGAAGTGAAATCTAGATGCGCTGGGCTGAATTTTTCTGCTATGTAAGCTCTGTTTTTTTAAAAGAGTACGTAATAGGAAGTATGTTCTCAGCCAGTACATTTCTTAATCAGTTAACAGTCAAATAGTTCAGTTACACCTAATAGAATGTCCCATAATACATTTGCATTATCTTCTGCAATGAAATACAAAATCTCTTGAACATACCTGTACTCCTTTTTTCTTACGAACTGTGTTTTCCAAAGGGGGAGGAATATCAGAACCAAGTATTTCTGCAATATCTCCAAGTCCAGCATCATGACCATGTTTAGAGCCACCTTCTTTCTTTGTATGAATGCCAAAAATATCTGAGATTATGTCACTTTCTCCCTTTTCACCCTTTACAAATTGCACAAGTTCAGCTCTAATGCCATGATCAGCAGCTTCAGCTTTTTCTGCTTCCATGACATCATCATGGATTCCAAACTGTGTTGGGTCAGGCATGTCCCCTAATATTTTAGTAACTTTAATGTTCTTGGCTCCTTCAACCAGGCCACCTCCAAATACAGTGCTCCAAAGAATCTGGAAAATTCCCCATACTATAGAAAAGAATAGTTGGAATACCCCTACAAATAGCATCCAGAAAAAGGAGAAGAACACTTTCACCGTTTCTTTTACTGCCATCTTTCTCACTTTCCTGTATTGTTTCCTTAGGTTCTTCACAGTGACCATTTTAAAAAAGTTAGCAACATTCTTCTTCATTGCAACGCAGGCTGTTGCAAATGCTGAAGCTGATTCCAGGGACTTCTCTTCCTCCTCCTCATCTCCAATATCCATTACATAATAAGGCTCTGCCTCTTCTTCCTCCTCAGGCCGTTCAGGTGAATCAGTTTCAGAGATCTGGGATGCTAACTGCATTTCAAAGATCGTGTCTTCACAGAAATTCACAAAGAGCTCCATTTTTTCTTGCTCTCCACCTTCGTTGACAACATCAAATATGAATTGCCTTTTGGATTCCTTCACCTGTGGCTTCTCCCACTGCATTCTACTGGATTCACTGATTTCAAAGTAAACTCTCTCTATTTTTTTGGCTCCACCCATTATCTCAATACGGCCGAGGTATGGTTCAAAGTAATTCAGAACACTTTCTGCAGGTTCTAGTAAGCTCTGAAGGCGTGAATCATTAGGCATATGCTCTGAAAGATTTGTTAACAATACTGCTACATTAAATCCAATGTCTTTGGCTGGTTCATGAAATCGTTCCACAAAATCAACATAGTTAAACATATCATTTTCATCAGCTTCCGCACAGGATAGCAGGAATTCAATCTCTGACTGTACGTATTGTTTCTGAGCTTCCATTGATTTCTGGAATTCTTTCTTTGAGATGATGCCTTTACCATCTGGGTCATGCTCTTTGAAAGCATCTGAGTTAGTTAGATCTTTTAACTTGAGAAACATGTCAAAGAACTTCAAAATCATTTCTACGTTGCTAGATGATTCTACAAGCGTGTCTACCATTTGTTTTCCAATAGTTCCATTTACGACGTTACCTATATTGGGTATTAAAAAAAAAAGTTATTTGGTGTCCGTATGTTTTAAGCTAATAACTGCATATTCATGCTGAGAACATTTTCATATTTCATTCTTAAACCTCTAAGCTTCCTTTCAACATGCTTTTCAGTAGAAGCTCTTTTTCATGGCTATGTTCACCCTATAATCATTTTAAAATAAATATGAAATAGCTTTTGCATTGACATCATATAAAGGCAATTAAAAACAGTTTAGAAAGGTTAGTAATTCTCACATTTTACGTTATGGAGCTGTGATAATAACATATGACTATAAAAAAACAGGTCCAACCTTCAAGCAGTGACAGCAGCATTACTACCATATCCTTTAGCAGATCCAGCAGTTCTTTAAGCAATTCTATCTGAGCAGAGTCCTGGAATAAAAATGGAGTATACGGGGTTTTTTGCCTTTGCATTTATCTTATAGGGAAATAAATACATTTGGAAGAAACTGCATGCAGGATGGTCATCCAAATATGGTTTAGGTACTTCACCAACATTTCACTGTCATTTTACTATGATCTGCTATCAGTAATCCTATACAATATGAGGGTAACCTACTACAGCAGAGGTATTATCAACATAAACATATATTTTAATAAAGCATTAAGGACTGCTAAAGTGCAGGTGACGGACAGTACAAACTCATAAGCTTTGTTATTTGACAAATCTGGCAGTATTCATCTCAGAAAGAAACTGCCCTTTCTCACTTCACAGTGGGTATTTAGTGGCATAATGCATTACCACTCAAATAGAACTAGAATTTCAGTAAGTTTAGAGAATGCGCTACAGAACATGATGAGACTAACTTGGATTTGTGGCTCACTTGAGGGACTTAGAACTGTGAAGTCTCCTTAAATTCTGATACACTTCTGCAGAGTGGCAAGAAATCTCATGAACAGGTCAGAGCGTAGTGGAGATACTAACTAGGAGCAAAATGACTCCCTGCACTATTGCATTCAGTGTCCCATGGCTTGAGTGTACTGGTAGAGTAAGCAGAAGTCATCAAAGAACACAGAAGCCTGAAACTGTAGAATGGGGTGGGACTCTCCAAGGCCCTGCATAGTGAAATGAACCCTGCTTGTTGTCCTCCTTCCCATGGACTGTGATGAATTGACTAAACAAGTTGACTGACTGTCACATTCCTTCCCTCTTTGAAACTTTCCGAGTTTTTCTTTTGCCCTTCCTAGCTTAGAATGGGAACCTTGCTTTTAATGGTGCTTCTGCTCTGACAGATCATCCGGTTTTGGCAACAGGAAAGAATGGACCACATTTCAGCCTTCTTTATCAGAAAGGTATAAATGAGCTGAAAGAAACAGAACTGTGAGCTTAATATTAGAAAAAGTGAGCATCCACTGATGGTTGAGACTAAAATGAATGGTATGAAGATGTAAGTTAGTCTTCAGATTCAGTGTCCTCTGTAGGAGGATAAGAAATCTATGCATAGCCAATAAGTGCCAGTATGCTAACTTATTTACAGTTTTCAACATTCATGCGACTGTATTTTATAAATAGAGGCAAAAAAGAATTGCTGAACTAATGAAAATACCTGTGAAAGTTTCATCTGCATATTGGCAAAGACATGAAGGAAGCCAACAACTGCATCCCACAGCCTACTATGAGCCAGACTCTGTTGGTTACCTATGCAAGGGCCCTAAAAAAAATTCAGATAAACACATTTTTTATTTATGTATAATCAAAGTGAAAAAAAATTGCCTGCCTAAGGTTTCTATTTAAAAAAATTAAAAAAAATAAAACTCAAACTTCCCTAGGATGTCCTTGGTATCTAGTGCATAAATTCTAGCTTCTATCATGTTACATTTACAGCCATTCACATATTTTAATATCAGCTTTACACTGGGCCGCTGATTCCATGTAACTTTATGAACATCAAGAAAAATACAGCCAAAATATATAAAAATTTAAGGTAGGATGAGATCAGGCCATGCAAATGTGGAACATCACTTTTAATACCTCGAGCTAAAATTTTTTGTTTACCTGGATATATTCTGTAAGTGAATTGAATATTTGTTTGGTGACAGCCAAAGCTTTAGAGAAGTTACGTTGCCCTGATTCATCAATGACATCTTTTCCTGAATAGTACCAGTAGAAGTCACTGATTGATTCCTAAGGAAAAAGAACAATGTTGCATTTTCTACTTCCGGATTTTGTATACAATATTTATTGCCAACATTCATATCACCAAAAGTTGAAGTAGCAGATTAAATTTAGTATTTCTGTGTCAATCTCTTTGTCATATCTCTCATGACAATAACTTTTACATTTTTATCTAACTATGCTTTCCTCACCTGAAGACGCAAGAGATAGTCAACTGTACTGATGATAATATTTACTGTTGTGGTGTTGCCCATCTGAGTACGTAAATAATTTTGAAAATCTGAAATAATAAATGATTTATGTTTGGTAAATACAAAGAAATCAAAAACACAAGATTATCTTCATGTACTGCTGTGGAAGATACTATTTTTAAGTACCTCCCCATTACAGATGCTTATTATAGGGCTAGAAATTGAATTATAATATATCACAATGTAAATAGAGCTGAAGGACTGTTATCCACATGCCTTGCAACGGACTTTGCTATTAATGACATGCATGAATTCTGAAATTAAGTTAGGATTTAAAAATTAAAATGCACAATTCACATTTTTGACACACCACTATTCCTCAGAAAACTAGATCAATTAGTTAGAGAAAAAAATTTATCCTAGAATCACTTCTGTTTAGAGAATAAACTTAACACACATTTTCCCTAAAATGAATTCAGTTCACTTACCATTATTATGCCCTTCACAGAGCAGTTGTAGAAATCTAAACAGATCTCGAGTAAATTCATCATGCTGCAGCACTTTTTCACCTTTGAAATACATAAATACAATGATTATGTGACTACTGCTATTGTTAAACACACAGAACATATCATTTTCAAACAGCATACTTTAAAAAGCAGTATTATAAAAGCTGTCTTAAAACAATTTTAAAGAGACAGACTGATAATAATGAAAATAAAACCAAACTATGAGACAGAAAAAGCACAGCCAAAATATTTAGCACTCCAATGCATTCATGGTTTAAAAAAAAAAAAAAAACTACTAGACTATATATCTAACAAGTAAATGGCTGATTATCAATAAAACCATGCCTTAAACATGAAAGACACTTCTTTAATGAGCATCAAACTGTTCATCCAAGCTGAACACACAACCTGCTGCAGACCATAAAGCTAAACCTTAAAGGATGCCTGGGAAGATGCAGTTAAAGAAGATTACGTTCTGTATTTGCAACACACAGTAGCATCAAAATCTGAAAACCCAAACATACCACGCTCACGAACGATGACTGTGGATCAAAGAAAAATAACAAGAATATAGGATAAGAAAATTGGAAGTTACAACATCTTTTCTTAAAAATGATTGCTAAAGATTTTGTAAATATAAAGTACATTCAGAACTCAAACTCTAAAATTATTTTTAATAAGTCTATCAACAGAAGCCTCAAGCCACAATAAATAACAGTTCCAGTTAAAGAAGGAAGTACAAGTAATGTTTTAAAGCACTACTGGAATCAGTTTTGTTCTACTTACGAGTTCCTTCTTCAGTAACCATTCCCAGGCCTTCTGCTTTATTTTGTCTCTCAAACGCATTCAAGTCAAGAACACTTATATTAAAAAAAAACAAACAAACAAACAGGAAAAAGTACTATAGTACACAATGAAAAATTAATTTCTGCAAGGAAATCTCTTGAGGCCTTGAACAACTAGCCTTGACCCAATGTGATATGTGTGGCCTCATATCTTATTTAATATGCATATAAAATAAAAGAGCTTGGGAGAAAAATAATGGTCCAGTGTCCATTTCTGAAAAGAAATAAGTCTCAAGTCAGGTCTTAACACTCACCTAACTTAATTTCCAATTATGTTATTTAGGGTTTCATGTATAAATGAAAAGAGGGAAAGGAACCTTAAACACTACTCCCTATATTGACTTAAACCTGCCTGACAAAAGGGCATCACTGGAGTTTATTTCTCAATCACAATGTTTTCCACTAAATTATCACTACTGTTATTTATATTTTGTTACTGTATATATCATGTATTATTATGTTATTCAGAAGACATCAGAGATTTCATATCTTCCAAGGTCAAAACGTACTGAAATCTTTATCCCTTTGCTAACTTGGTGTACACCAGTACCTGGAACAGGGTTCTCAGCATGCAGTCAGAACACTTCCATTCAAACAATCCAAATATGATTTTATGATTATATAACTTCATTCAGAGAAACAGTAATGCAGTCACATATTTTAAGGTCTAGTAACATCATTAAAAAAAAAAAATTGAAGTATTTTTCAAAGTATTATTCTCACCCTCTTTTTAGTGTTCAAGTAAGTTTATCAAAACTACCTTTTCAATGAGTTCCTGAGAGATATGTATATACAACTGATGATAGTATCAGGGCAGATCCTCTCTGAGCAAGTTCTTGCTAAATTGTTCTATATAAACAGCCCTCGTATAGGGTTCCTATCAACTTTTCCATATCTAAATCCCAGTCTGTTCCTTCCAAGCCCTTCTGTTGCTCTAAAATGCTGAAAAAGAGAGGTTATCTATTGTAAGAGTCATTAGGAACACCTACAGTTTTCCACCTTCTTTACGGCAGTGCTTCACCTAATTTCATTTGAACTTCCAGTTTGTCAAGGAAATGAACTACTGTGGGCTCACTGGCCACATGCCACCTCTAACAAATTTGATAAATATGCAGAGGATTCAGATGAAGAGACAGAGATTATGTAACTTATCAGAGATGTCAGAAACGGATAGCTTAGCAGAGCTCCACTGGCCTGTCCTCACCTTCAGTGATGGCTTTTATCCATCCTTAGAACCACCCAGTCAGAAAACTTCAGGGAGCTGGGACCAGCAAAGAAGCCATTGCATTTTATTTTTCTGCCATTCCAAACTAAGCCTTTAAAGGCATACTCAGTCAGTCTCTGCTTCGATTTCTCCCTTGGAAGAATATTCTAAAAGATTAATGCACTGATTCACAAAAAATTCCCACAAAAGCACTACAGTCTGTGATTCCTGTGATTCAAATCTAGCAAATGCATCTGCATTGAGCAATAAGCCACCAACCTGAATAAAACTGAAACTATAATAATATGATATATGTTTTACCTGCAAGACTGCATCAAACCAGAGAGACTTTGAAAAAATCCAGCATCCTTTTTCTCCTTCAGGTAGTCCAGCATTTTCTACAGGATAAACATTTGGGAAAAAAATCTATATTAAAATTATTGTAAATTAACAATTTCCTAAATTACTATTCTAAATGCATATCACTGGCCAACAATAATATCTTTGTTCATGTAAACAGACAGTTTGCTCTTCCCTTATTATACCAAAACTCCCCTGATATTTCTTCATCATTTAACTTAAAATTAAATGAACTCTTGCTAACATAGCAATGCAACAGGGCATTAAAAGTCTCCAGATGACTTCCTTCCTTTATACAAGCAAGACACACAGTATTTAAAAAAAAAAAAAATTACCTGTTGAACTATGGTATTCCCACCATTTAAAATAGCAATACCAAGTTTCAGTGTTTCAACAACCATGGGTCCTGTATGACCTGTTAAAACAAGGATACAGCCATTAAAATTGCAATTAGGAACTATTTAATCAGAAAAGCAGTCTACAAAATTTTACCTAACGTAATTTGTAACTGACATTTAATTTTGCCTCATTACATATCACATACGAGCTGTATATGATATACATACAAAATAAAAGTCATATATATATCATACGTACTTTAACACTTCACATAACATTACCTTTGCTTGCACTAATCATCTGAAGGACCATCTCAGCAGCTCCACGATCATGCAAGCGAGCTTGCTGATAAAGAGTTCTCTGTTTTTCCATTTCTTTCTCCTGGGTTTGGGAACAAAAACAGGAACAGAATACAGACTGGAACTGATTCAGGCAAAATATAATGATGTGATGATGAGAAATCTGATGTTATCGAAAGACACCTGCCTCCATAATCCAAAGCTTGTCCAATTCCAGACTTCAGAACATACAGTCTTTCTTTTAGATGAATAATCTAGTAAAGCAGCTCAATAGATACTGTGTTATCCTTGCACTTATTCTAGTAAACATATTTGAAATGATGTCTTGCGCTTTAGTCAATGAGGAAAAAAAGGTTAAAATTTTACCTCAAATGTCTTCTCTTTTTCTTCATCCTCCTCTTCCTCCTCTTCATTCTGACAGCTCTTTTTATGTCAGAAAAAGAAATCATAAGATTTTGCTTAGTATGAAATAAAATGGCTATTTGTACTACAGTATTTCGACTACAAAAACGACTGTTCCAAGAAGCTTTCTTAAGCAGTAATTCAAGTCATTAAGAAGATTCAAGATCCCTGTAATCCTAAATATTTGTGCTCATCCACACTAAGAAGCTGATATTCCCTAATATATGAGTGGGTTTGGGGCTATTTATCCAACTACTGGCATACCTTTAACTGCAGCTTATGTGTTTTCATGTCTTATCTCTATCTACAACGTTCATGTTTCCAGTTAAATTCCCTTCATAAGTTCAGTGCCAGCTATAATCAACCTGTTGGAAATATTGGTTGCTTTTGACAGACTTCAAATAGTAGCTCAAAAATAATTATCCAAAGAATAAAGGTAACTAATACAGTTAAGATGTCTCATGAGTTATGCTATACAAAACTAAGTGCCCAAGCGCCCTTTGCTAGCAACAGGATTGTGCGTACCACAATTTGATAATTATATTTTAAAGCATGAAATTTCTTATTACATATATAACTCTGAATAGCATTTGTTTCATTAAAAATATAGAAACTACTAGTATTAAGTAGTCTACATAAGAGAGAGAAAGCTTGAAAAGGATCTCAAGTAAATAGGAAGTACCTGAGTGGGGTGAGGGATAGAGCTTGAAATGATATATTTACCTTTGCCATCATGGCAGAATAAGCAATGTATAAAGGATCATCTTCTAGTTTGCTATAAAGAGGAAAAAAATATTTTAAATTTTTCATGATGTAGTAATAAAAAGCTGTTATACTGCTACTAACATATAAGTTCCGTTTTTATTACTGGGAAGCATGTACACATCTACTTGAAATCCCTCTGTACTTGAAAATCCTATTATAAATGTATCTCCTAATCTCAAATCAAATCTATATGACTTTTTAATTAAACAATTTACAGGTATATTTGGACATCCAACTTAGTCATTTATATGGATAAGTACGACTAAGCGGCTGAGGCAAGTCCAGAAAAGCATTATGGAGATATAATTATTCTAATTTTTAATAAATGTCAAATGGTAAGATTATACAGTAATCATACAGAAAAACATACGAAGCTCCGCAGAATTTTGCTACTCACATGAAAGGTATATTCTGTTCAATAGTCCCAATTCAAAACAGAAAATGGCACCGAAAGAGATTCACACTAACCATCCGTGGTATTTTGAAACCTTTTCTAATACATTGAATAAAATGTAATGAAAGCCAACAGTAAGAACATTTATCCATTATGAGCAGAGACTGGAAGGATACCCTGCATGAAGCAACCATTTCGGTAGACCTTATGTTTCTATGAGAATTCAGGCTTGGCGATTTCTGCATTGAGTATTTACCAAGTTTTATAAATGTCAAAAATATGTCCACATTTGTCTCAATATAAAGTTTATATTGAGGTTAATGCATGAAAACACTAAGGAAAAGGAGAGGCAGAAGAGCGTTCACCATGGACAATACTGAACTGCAGTTATGTTAAATCACTTTTTTAACGGTATTAGCAATTCATGGGCAATTTTACTGAATACACTTTTAAACATGGCTCTTTTTTACCTTCTCTCTGTGAGAGCATTGCGACTAAAATAGAGGATAATCTGATGAAGTGGATCAGGTTGTTTCTTCTCAATCTCTTCCTCTTCCTCTTCCTCTTTTTTTGGAGGTGTCTGCGTCAAGATTTATATCAGAACATTCAAATTAAGCTTCAGGAGTAAAAAAAAACCTGAACAAGTAAGCTCAGAAAAGGATTTCAGTATTTTTTTTGGTCCACTTTGTATTAACTTCCAGTATTCATCTTATTCAGCAGCTTGCAGCAGAACCTGCAACATTTTGTGCCTGCATGACTAAGAAGCATAATATCTGACTCTGTTATTCTTATTTGATAGCAATATTAGAAGTTTCTCATTTGCAAGGTATTGAGAATGAGACAGTGAAAGGTTTAGGCAAGCCTTATTCAGCAGAAATTATATGTAGGTTTCCAATGGACCAGAATTGAAAGAAAGTCCCAACTGAATTATTTAGCGCGAGAATTGATGGGGAAATTGAACTGTTTTTAAGACAATCACATGCATACCACTCAGGCTATTTGCTATAATACTGTCATGTGCCATTTCTAGATAACTAATCTTGATTCAACAAATATAAGAACTGCTCTAACAACTTCAAACATTTGTTGGCAGTTTGAAGGAAAACATATCCAGCACTAGCATAAAAGGTGGGTATTCTTCTTTACTTTACTGTCACTGGTAGGATCTGTAATGTAGGATTATTACTATATGATAAATATTTCCTTCTTTGCCACTAACCCAGAAAGAGTAATTTGCATTATCGTAACAATGATCCAATTAAAAAACGTAATAATAAATTACAATGTAGCTGCTTTTGCTAACACTGAAGCATCTCCTTGTGATCCATGACGCCATCTATTCATGGTCTTATAGTTACCAAGGAGATAGGCCCCTTAGAAATATTTTAGACAAACTGACTAAAGAAAAGGAAGATGAAAAAGGAGTAGCCCTTCTGAATCAAGATTAACTAACAAAATACTGAAGTTTGCCAATCACCTTCATCAAGTATACGTGTAAACTGAAATTTTGCTGAATATGGCTGCATATATTTATGTCTCCTTATGAAGTATCAACAAGAAAACAGCAAAACTAACTTGTATTCAAGCTGAAAATGTTAAAATTAAATATTAAGCAACAACAAAAATTTCAAAAAGGGGAAAAGCATCAGTTGTGTCAAGCTTTAAAAAAACAGTAGTTAAAATATAGGAACATAGGAATTAGCATAATGACAAATACAGACTGACAGCTCATCAGTTCATCATTTCTATTCCCAAGAACGAATATCACATACTTCAGCTGAAGGCATAAACCACCTTAATGCACCTCAGTGTGCGTCACACAACAAATGTCTTTTCAACCACAGCAGATAATGACCTTATGCCTTGAAGCATAAGGCTTTTATAAATTTATGCAAATGTATACAGTACATACAAATTATATATATGCTATAATAGATACATAAAATATGGACTAAAGTGGGCACTGAAAAATATGCCCAGTTATGTCAGTACTTACAGCCAAATCCTGAACTAGTTTCTCCTCAAATGAATATTCCTCTGTTTCTATCCAATAGTTCTGATAGCCATGGAGGAAGAGGTTAATAGAACGGTGCCTGGGGGGGGGTTGTGAAAGTGAGATCAAGAGGGGTAACGGAACACAGTATAACAGCTCAGGTGGTTAATGATTAGTAAGGATACGTGTTTGTACAATTTTGATCCTCTGATTGGTCAGTGAAACAAAACGCAAAATCTAGCTAACATTCAGTGAAAAATCTGAAAGTATTTCTGAACATTTTTAATATTATATACATATCAGTTTTCATTCTGAAGGCTTTGGGAGTGCTCGTACGTGTTTTACATGAAATTGCAGGACTGGAGTTTCAATACGAGCATGGGAAAAATACATATGTTAATACACTGAGAATGAATAGGAAACAGGATTTACAAGTTAATTAAACTAGAACATTGAGACAGCAGAAGTTGGCTCTCAGTACCAAAACAATATCAAGTGTTTTCCAGCATGTTATCTGTGGACACTCACTGGCTTCTTCCACAAGCAGAAGCCTATCCTCAGCTTCTTTTCTCTCACCTACAAATCAGGGTAGTAGTAATGTGTCCTCAAAGAAGTTGCATTCGACACGCACAAGAACTGCACTAGAAAAAGATCGACTCTAGAATACTGTTAAGCATATTGATCACTATTTTACAGTTTAATTAATTTAATTGTACAACTTTCCACAGAAAACATAGTTAATGATAACAAACTATATATAATTCTGGCCAAACCATTCCACACTTACATTGTATTTGGGAAGAAATTTTGTTTGCAGGCGCGCTGTATGAATCCTGTGAAGTAAGGTTGTTCCACACAGTCTTTTCATTTATTTTTTATCTTGCACCAATACCAGAATTATGCAGCCTGGCCGTATATAAGTCCTATAGGCTCCATATGACATGACTTTATAGATACACTGTGCACATAAATTATTCTTATTCTGCTTTTGCAATAGAATGATATTAAGCCAACCTTCTATGCTCCCCTGCTGGCACTGGTGCCATTTTCTTATCAAATTGCAAAAACTGACCAATCAGAATCCCCACTGGAAATTGTACAAATTCATGTTTCATGAAAACATCAAATCATGGCTGGGAAGGAATAAGTGTGCGCATAAGGAAGAGGCTCTCCACAAGTTACATTACCGTTAACTTGAGTATAAGCCTGTCATACTGAGTTTTTTCATGTACTTTTTCCAGCCAAACACGTTGAAAGGTGCTCAGGAAGAAATTGCTAATTTTGTGTCTGAAGAAAAGCATATAGGTTTTCATTGAAGAACTAACAACAAAGGCACAAGTTAAATTCAACGAAGTAGTCAGAAAGAATGTTTTTTCAAACTCTGTATGAAAAATTTCCGTGTACAGCTTTGCTGTATCTATGTGTGTATACAGATGATAGACAATAAAACAAATAATTTGCAAACTAATTTCCTTAAAACATCAAACACAAATATACACGTCAGAGAAAACGTACTTATCAAATAAGACACTTTTTCAAAGCACTGTACATGTTTTCATTAATGAACAGAGAACACAAAGAATTAGTATAGGTAGTTACACCAATGTTTTTTCCTGGAGAAACAAGAATATTTGAAAACACAACTAGGAATTCCTTTGTATCTCAAGGTACTTCTCAGAACAGGCAGCACTTGGAATATTTATCAAAGAAGCTACAGTAATTTCCCTATGATTTCTCAACCTGCTATTTTAACAAAGACCTGCACATGAAGGGAAATCTTAATTTCTGACATATCTCACTGGAGTTCCTAAAAACTGACATATATTCTCATGAAGAAAATGGATTAAAATGGGAGATTAATGTTAAAGTATGTTGAAAGCCACCTAAATCTCCAGAAAATTATCAGAGGAAAGAGCTCATTATCCAGTGAAGATCATAATCTTTTCTAGGATGAATGAAAGGATATTGCCATTATCAATTTCCTTACTGCCCTTTAAATTAATTGCTTCTATCATCAAATTTAAAACTAACTCTGCCAATATAATACTGCAACTAAAATGAGGAAATATGCAAAATAAGGAGAGCATTTGAAACTATGGTTCAACAGGATTTATGTAGCTCTTAGAATTAATCATACTACACTTGAAATACCAACTCCCAAGGGTTCAGAGATGCCTTCAGAACACAATCAATGTAAATGATGGATAGACAGCTATGTATATAATTAGGTGCATAATAGTGTGATAGCCTTATTGTCCTGCCAGACTCCTACTATTTATCTAGAAAAATCAGTGTCCATAACTAATGAATTTATAAACTGTTCTGTAGCTATCAATTGAGAAATATACCTAAAAGTCCATAGTGTTTTTCACCCTTGCCTGTTTTGAACTGCAGATACCAAAATACGTTGCCTCAAATAGTTTCATCAGACCTCATTTTTAGAGTCTGCAAGAAGAAATAGCTGGATAGATTTATCTCACATTCAGATTTCTTAAAATTAGGAGTAAACCCCACTATAGAATCTACCATAAAGTCTGAGAAGAACCAGTTTCAGTCTTTTTAACACAGAAAGATTTATGAACATTACAAATAATACGAACGTTCTTAACATTCACATTATATGTAATTTTCATAAAAAATATTTATAAATTTACAATGCGGTTGTCAAAAAATGCTCACAGAAAGAGAGTTACACTAAAATGGATGTTCATTCTATCACTTCCTCTCATTTTTCCAGATACAGCTCTTGAAGATGAAAATAGTTGATAGTCTCAAAACTAGTCAGTTTGTTTTTATATTTAATTTAGATCTTTTCATTTCTCTCTGGCTCCATGAAGACTGGCTGTTGGGAAGGAGATAGGGCGGTAAGGGACAATTTAGAGAAGTAATTTTAGTGTAGAACTACTGGTTTTCATAAAGGACAGATGTGTGCTTTTTACTGTACAGTTGACATTTATTTGTCTTGTTACGGCAAACTTAACTTTCTTCTCCATGTGTTAGTCGCTCAGCTACAGACCTTAAGCCAATGTCAAGCATGGAGATGCATGGAGGTGTTAATAAAGGCATTTTTAAATGCAATGAAACTTTTCTATTAAATACTGTGTGAGCAATCTTTAAACAAAAACATCAATCATAAAATGTGAAAATTGCAAAAGAAGGTAAGAAACAAACATCACTGAACGCATGCTTATGCTCTATCTGAATAAAAAAAATAGTTTTGGTGAGAATGAACAGTGTTAAGGAAATTATTCCAATGAAATATGGTCTTAATATTCTGTTTAAGACCATCTCTATCACATGCTCTCTAGGCACATTTTATCTCAGATTTTGCGATATCTACGTTCAACTGGAGAAAGAAGTAGAGCAACACACAAGTTCAAAATCTCATACTGCACTGCTCTGCCCTAACAGCTGCTTTAAATGCATATGACATCCTGACATAATAGCTGCAGATTGGCTCATACAATCTAAAGAGCATGAAGCACTCATGCAATAGGAAAGAGAGGAGTAGCCATAAAGAAGAGAGTTAAAAAAAGGAAAGGTTATGAACACAGGAGAATAAAGAACAAAAAGAGCAATCAATTAGAGGCAAAGAAAAGGACAGAAACAGCAACAATATTTTAACATAGTTTTCAGAGATAACCTGAGGAACTATACAAGACAACAGCTGGCAAAAATGAAGCATTTGGTTTTTGAAGCAGCGTAATTCCTATGGTCTTTCTCCCCCCTGCTTATGTACCATGAAAAAAAAATTTTGTTACTGTGAGGAACTGGCTCATAACTAACCAATTATTTTATCTGAAACTCATTACATAACCCTAACAATCAGCACACTTCTAGTGCTACCCTTAGGCAGTATTTGCACTAAGAAATATGAACAGAATTTATAAAAACGTAAACCTTTAAGCCATCTACCTTGGCAGGTTGTATAACGGTGCCATTCTGAAACAAGCAACTACAGCCCTTTTGCGTTGTTTTGACAGGAGTTTGTGCCAAACAGCTTTCTTTGATCTGAGTGGCTGTTCAACCTATGGGAAAATATCTCTTTTAGTACACACAATGGGAACCCTTCAACTCTTATCCAAAATATCCTTTTTGTCTACCGGTTAATGTAGTTAATGAATAATAAAATGTTATAAAAGCTCCCTGTCTTCTGAAAGAACAATGTTTTTAAAATAAAGTAATCTGAAAAAATATTGAAGACCCTATACAGTGCCTCTCTGTTTATACAGAAAAGCTTTCGATGTTAGAAAATTTCATATGTGGAACTCACGGCTAAAATTCCAAAATGGCTATTTTATGTCTGTTGATAACGATGCAGATTTAATCAATCATTCATGTGAACAGACTTCTTTGCTATTTCATTTCTGGATGTAAAGGACAAACTTTAAGGGTGCAAATGTCTTTGTGTTTGAACTGTGTGATTTGAATGAACAGGCAACAGGATTCAAAAGCTTCTACAGCATCCTCATGTGCAGAAATGGAAGATACTGAAGTGCATATATTAAGATAAATAATAAACATCTTTTCTTAAAATTACAGAGTTTTCAGCTACTGAATATTGACCTTTTGTACATAATAGTTCACAAAACTGTTAACAAAGTTTTGTATGGGTAAATACTTCCTGAGTTTTCTCTGGAGCAAGACTGAGGTGCTTCAGCAGATTGAATACTTTGTATATATACACATCTCTGTGTGTGCGTATGTGTGTGCATATGCAAAAATTACTTTATCTGGAAAATTAAATAATTGCATTCAGTGAAGTGGAAATAATCTCTCTAAGGAAAGAACCTCATTCTAATTTAAAATAAGCACAGTACAGGTATATTACTTTTACCTGCTCCAGATGATACAGAGCAGCTGATATCCTCTGCACACGTTCCACAGTTTTCTCAGGGTCAGTAGGTTCATCACTCTTCAAAATGTCTTTGTACAGATTTAACTGCCACTTCACAGCTGGATCATCAGACTGAAAATCAACATATTTCATACTAAAGCTGCTGAATGAAGATACTGAATATGACCTCCTCCATAATTATTCTCATGGAATAATAAAGATAGATAGATATCCCACATCATCTGTCTCCTTTTCATCAAAATTTGCTAGATGCTCAAAAAATGGCACTAGGTTCTACAGACTGTTGGGTAGCTGAACTCAATTCTTAAGGAAGCTTCTGTTTTTAGTTCACGAAACTAAATAAAGCACTGTGGGAGTTCTGCGTTACATCTAACTGCATTAAAAATAAGGAAGCACATCTAGCATTAAGATGGACAATACTACACTGTTGAATAGCTATCTAGCTTGATCTGTCAGTGCCTTTTTGTGTAACTCTTACAATTTTGCAATTTAATGCTTTGCTGCGCCTTAACAGCGGAAAGCTGTATTATGGACGCTACCAAAGACAGTTGGAATTTCAGTAGTGGAAGAGTCTCAGCCAGAGTTTTTGGCTTTTTTGCAACAGAAGTACAGGAAAGCACATCAGAATTATTTAACGTGCCCAGTTTAAATTTAGGTAAGCACAAATGTCCAACAATTAAGACAGCTATTTCCCATCTAAAGTAACTGAATTATTCCCATTAAATTCAAAGACTTGGGCCAATGATCTAAATTATTTAATTTTTATAGAATGACCAGGACTCCATTTTGTTATCACCTTTGACCCTATGTCCTTCAGGGTCTAAACAGTGGGAACATAAATATGCTGTAAAAGGCTTAAGACGATACAAGGCTTTCTTGATTTTCTTTCTTCATAGTCATTTTTTCTAATAGCTTTTCACTTTACCAGATACCACGAACATGACAAACAAGTACAACTTGCACGTTTAAAAATGCTACATCAGTATATTTAAGTCCGATTTTTTTTATATTACCTTCTCCTGCAAATGTAAGTTGTTACGTAAATGTTCTTTGACTTCGTCATCAGTGTCCCTCTGTAGAAAGGTAGAAGTATTTTTCAGTTCTGATTAAGATTCATTTTATAAGAACATGCACAGGGATGCACAAAAGAACTGTTTTTCTTTTAACATTGAAAGGTAGCCTCTTCTGTTTTCAAAGTATGTAAGTTATCAGAGGGATAGGGGAAGAAAAAAGGCTTTCTTTAATTGTGGGCACAAAACAAGAATCAAACTCTGAAGGGATTAAATGCTAACTAATGATCTTTCAGTACTTTTTTTATACATTTATAATTTAAATTGTAATGTATTAGAATTGATATATTTGTTCAGCTGTTTATATATACCACCTTGTCTTGTAAAAATACAGTTTGTAGGTTTAATTATTTTGCAAAGTATACACTTACATGGCTGTATCTAGTCTTAGCCAAAGAGATGAGCTCTTGATCTCCAGGAGTACACATATTCAAACCAATAGGAAGCATCTTTTTAAGTGCAGCTACAATCAAGGAAGTTTGTATCGAGTACAAATCCCCTCTACGTTTTGTTTTCTTTCTCTCTTGATCTTGTCCTCCAGACTATAATTAAAAAATAGAAAAGTAATTTGTAACTGCTCACACACTTTTCCAACACACTCTTCTCCTAATGGTCCAAAGAAACTATATTCCTGATGTAATATAATTAATTAAAAATGTTAAATTAGAGGCAAGATGTACAGTCTCGAGCAGGAAATGTAAAGGAATATTTTTGATATGCACCAATGCAAAAGCTGCAGTAATAGCAATATTTTAATAGCAGTTAATACTGCTGTGCATTCATACATATGAATCTAACTATATTTTCTAGATCTTATAAAATACCTCTCAAATCAGAAACAACCACAGAATTGAAAACCAAGTCAGTCTCAGGGGACACTATTAGCTTGCAATTTTAGAGAGAGAGATTCAGGTTGGGTAGATTTTTGATAGAAATCTGCATAAAGATGCGGTTATCTAGGGTCTGAATGAAGACCCGGTTATCTAGGGATGAATGAATATAATCTGATCTGTTTCAGCTGAAAAAGATCAGCATCTAAAAGGCTTGGATCCAATGCAATAAAATGTCAATGAATTAGAGTCACTAGAAAACCACTGTCCTTTGGCCTTAGCTAATATAACTAACCCTGGGATGAAAAATTAAGCCTTCTGCAGCTTTGGAGTTCATAAGTAACAGGAGGAGAAAAACAAAAGAGACAGAGAAGTAAACAGCACAACAGAATAACATTTGCCCTACCTACTTCCAATAGACAACATACAGCAATATTTCACACACAACTTTTCATTTATGAGACAGCAAACTAAAACCCTTAAAAAAGACTCATATATTTAATGAACGTATGCTAAACGATAACATAAAAATAGCCCAGTTCTGAATTCTGTACCTAGATTAAACTCCTACTAACCTCAAGGGGAGTTTTGCCTAAGACAAGATTTCAGGACTAGGCCTACAGGATTATAAAACACTACAAAACAGCAAAGGCTCGCGCTTAACCCTCCACATCCTTTTCCCTCTGTCGATTAAATTCTACTGACTACTGTTTGTATAGTATAGCGGATAAAGATACAGCAGAATCCATTGCAATTCATTATTTATCAATTATTACCACACCATTATCATAATAATCACTGAAGGAAGTTAAAAGGTAGCCATACATATTCTACTCAGTGGTAAATTTTGGCAAATGCTGTCTTCTAGGTGGTGAATCGCTGTGCGTATAGTTGGTGTTAACAGCATTTACCAGGCCAGAGGGAACACACGCTGGATGTGGCTTCCTTTCTTAAGGAACTAACAATTGCAAGAGAGTACTTCGCCTCAAAGCTTTGCTTTTGGAAGTGCCTTAGAAAAAGTCTTCTACAACAGCAATGATGTAATGGCTATAATAATGACATTATTGGTACTCTACATTGATAGCAGACAAACAAATGCCACAATGTATCACTGTGATCCAGTGGCGTCACCGTGCATCTTGAATAAGGAATACCAAAATAAAAAAAAGGGAAAGAAAAAGAAAAAGGAGAGAGAGAAAGACTATTTTGCTTTTCTGCATCTTTATGCTTGGGAAGGTCATTTTACGCATCCAATTTTCTTAATTTTCATTCGAGGTTAACAACTAGGTATAAACAATGTATGCAAACTTAAAACAAAAACGGATTTAAAGCATAAAAAGTAGATCCATTCTGCCTGTGTCATCAAATTCTGCTGTGGAGAGTCACAGAGAGAAATCTACACCTAAATGACAATAAAACTATGTCTCTTTCTGTTCTGATATGCACCCATATGAATAAACATAATACCCTCATTTGATATGCAGTGTGTTAAATCAGGTATGTTTTGCCTAAATAATTTACTGTGCTAAAAGAACCTCTACAACAATTAAAATCATATGCTCTGGTTACCTAACAGCACATAGTAATCCTACTTGCCTGAGGATTTACATACACAAGTAGAAATTTATTCAATAAACATACATAGAATGAGAATTACAGTGTCTCCTGTAGATTCAGAATAATTCAATATATAGTCAAAAAGGAGAAGGAATTTATTTATATTAAAACACTAGCTAGAGTTAGTCAAGACCCTAGAATTAGTATTTCTAGTATTTCTAATCCTCCTTGAACAATCAACTCTCTGAGATTATTGTGACAGTATTCATTAAACATTACTCTTTATACCTGGGGAAGCTGGACAATAGCAAAGCCTGAAACCAGACCTGTTAGTTTAACACATCTGTTAACTTTTTAACTTATGCCTCCAGTTTGATTGCTTAAAAACTCTTCATATCATAGTTTGTGGTTCTCAGGGCACGGCAGAAGGAAAACATGAAAAGGTTTTATGCTCTGTTTTGCTGTTTGTTCTGCTTCACCAGTGAAAAATGCACTATGGGTCAAAAAGTACTGTTATACATTAAATTCATATTAAAAAGATAATATGAATAATGTAAAGATGAACTATAGTTCACTGGAGAAAATCTCTGAATATATTACGTAAAAGAAACAAGGATTATTCAAAATCATCCTCACACCTTGCCTGATTTGGAAAGATCTTTTTCTAAAAAAAATTTTGGAAACAAGGTAGGATTTGAACCCTAGTTCTAATTTGAATCTATTAGATCTAATGTAATATTTTATTCATCTACAGATAGGGTCAAGGTTATAGCACATTTCTCCCATATATTTTTCTTGAAAAACATAATCCAAATATATGTTTCTGATGACTCTACTTAGGCAGTTCTCTTATGACATCTGCTTCACTGTGTTAACAAAAAAATCCTCAGAAGGTAGAAAGACAGCAGAGGGGGGAAAGCATGTCTAAAAAAAATTATTAAACTTTATTACATTTTTACATCAAAGCAGCATGTGAATGTGTTAAAGGGATTTTCAGCTGCTCCAATTAAATATTGCCACTTTAACTATGAGAAAACTTAGGAGTAGATGGAGCCTGGGCCTTCACTTTGTGACGCCACTGCTATGATCAAATGGAAAGAATGCTTGGAGCCTGATCATCTCTAAAACTAAAACAAAGACACATCATGCACTTTGACCTGTACCTTCACTTGCATGGCCTGTATGAAAGAAAAATAAAGGGAAAAATGTAAGTAAAAGAGATGTAACAAAGATAATTTTACAAGTTAGTAATAAACTTATTCAGCTCTATCAGGACAGTAAAAATATTGTAAGTTTGAGGCTAAAACAATAGTCTGTGAATGTATAATCAAATGATATCTTAGCAAAAATATTATTTTTATTCAACTTAATCCATATTAAGCCATTGATCTTTTACAACTATCTATTGCTATTCAGCATGACAAAATACACAGTATCATTTATTATTTCAGCAGATAGAGAAGTATATCTGGTAAGTCAATAGTGAGTGAGCATCAGTATAGTAAATTTTACATCTTTTCCCAGTACTGTTAAGAGGAGGAGAAAGTCTGGAAGTCTGGATAATCCAATAATAAAAAATTCAAACTCTCATCAGTATAATCCTTTCCATCTTTTTTCCCCCCAAAATATGTATGAGAGAAATTATGTTTAGAAATAGAAATGAAAATCAAGACACCACTGAGAAGATGCAGCACATCATTTACAGATGTATTTTTCCCACTGTATAACATAGTGTTTCGTCTGAGACAGCCTGAGAGAAAACCAGAGTTAGGCTCATGTCTCTCACCAGGACCCATTTTGAGAACCTAGCTGTAACGCTCACAAATACTTAGGGCTTTTTTCCTTTTTATTATATAATACCATAAATATATAAATACACCTACATGAATATGCATTCGTAGTCCAAACTTAGGTTATCATTGTGCCATGTAAAATTAAAAAACTAAAATCAAAACTATGTAATTATGGTAAAATAATAATAATAATAAAAACAAACAGAAGAAACAGTTCGGCGTGGTTTGATTTTTCTTCTCTTGATTGCTGTCATTATAACTTTGTTTTCTTTTCTCGCTTGAAGCAATCTAATATGTCTCCGTTTTGGCCTCAAAGTGTTAAAGCTAAGCTATAATTAATATCTCTCTTTATATCCTGCTATATCCATATCACATAGTAAAGAAAAACGGATGCAAGTCAATGAAGAATGAAAGACTGTATCACTAAATAAAGCATTAAGCACCTTCACTAAATAAAGCATTAAGCACCTTAGACTCTTGAATACCTACACAGACAAATAGCAAATTGTAATTGAAAATTCCAATTGGGTGAAATATGTAGATGCTGTGCAAAAATGCCATACATTGGTATGTATACATGGCACACATTAAAGGTAAGTAAACAAATGAGGTTAATTTCATTTTATCTATTAGGGATGACCACAGAAGTAAACCATTCAAGATTTTTCCTAATATAATTAAAAGAAATGTATTCTATGCAATCAAAATAGTCTCAAGGAAGAGAGTTAAAGAGAGGAAGAGAGAGAGTTTCTTGAAGAAAATACTAACATACTAAATCCTTGAATAAACACAAATTTTCAAATAATATGTATTACATATTACAAAGGGGCGCAAATCAGAATGTTCGTTCATTCCCTCATGAAGTTAGGGCTGTGCTGATTGCAATACAAGTTTGGATTATATGACTGCCTCAGACTTCTGTAATTGGCCTATCCAAACGTTTTTTTGTAATAGATGCAAAAATTTAATAATGAGGGCCAATTAAATATAATTTTGGTAGGATAAGCAAGTATTTAACAACTCAGGTTATAGATCCAGGAATACATTCATTTAGATTCCAACGTTTACTCAGTATTGCTTGAAAAACTGCCCATATATGTACTACATATTTGTAACATACATGTGAATGTATACATCTTAGTTTTTCATACAAATCAGCTGTAAAACACGACAGGGAGTCATTACATCTTAAAACTGCTATTTTATCAAGCAGCCCTTGAAGAGTTGAAAAAAATAACAGATTAGTGAGGTTGAATGAGTTTAAATTCTCCATTTCAACACTTCTTCTATCACAAATCTGCTATTTCACTTCATTCTAAGTTATCAGTCTCTCTTAGACTGAAAGTTCTCTAACTTACCATTCCCCTCCGAGCAATCTGCTGCCATTTTTTCAGAAAAGAAAAATTAAAAAACTTGGCTCAGCTTATAGTACATTTATTTGAATAAAGATTTACAAAGTTAATATTGTATAATCAAAATATAATCTGGATCATATTGATTTTTTGACTGTAACAGTGAATCATTTGTTACCACTGCTATTAGCTACAAAAAAAACCTTATAATCCTAGTGCTTCATTGTCTGCATAATTTTTATATATAAGGCATATAAAGATATAGAACCTTCCATGCCTGATATCCTGCCTTACACATTAGGTGGGGGGGGAGGGGGGGGGGGGGGAGGGAGAGAGAGGGAGATGGAGAGGGAAAGTTTCAGTTGTAAGGCAGATAGTTGCTTAAAGCAGCTTGAAACCAGCATGGGACTTTACTCTTTTAAAAGAGACCCCAAGCTGTTCTGTCTATTAGCAGCCAACATTCACATACTCATTTATTTATACATTCTCACGTGTGATAAATACTTCATGTAATGACGACCATTAAACATAATGTGATGAACTAATAATGAAGAAGGAAGTGTTAAGTACTCTGCTGTTACATTACTTCCTGAGCTGAATGTTAATATAAACAAGGCATTATAAAAATAATGCTCCCTAATGCAATTTACTCTATGAATTATTCCTTGAAACTATAAGTAACAAACTTTACAATAAATCCTGAAATTCAGTTACTTAAAGAATTTCTTGTTTATTCTAAATTAATCTTAAAAAAATTCATTTAGATCTATGCTTTAATGAATGCACTGGTTTAACAGCACTTACATTATATATTATGAAATGTTATCAATTTGCCAGTTAGAAATCACACATAGAAAACCAACACAGCACTTCTAAAATAGGCCTCATGTATAGTTTCATGCTATTAAAGTCATCATGAAACAAATGTCTGTCTAAACCAAACAGTTGTTCTGCAATCACTCCTGCAGATATGGTACCATATTAACAAAATATTCATTCATAACCAGTAAAATCCATTATTTTTGTTCCTGCGTTAGCAATAACCATGTACAATATCCAAAAGCACCGTGACATTACTCACTGCTTTACTTACAAAAATATTACATATATATAAAAACTTATAACCCCTGTTTTGCATATCTATACAAAGAAAAGCATATTTACATATGCATTTACATCCATCTGTGTAAATTTATATTGTTTAAATATACACAAGAGGTAACTGAAAATTTAATCTCAAAAGTAAACCCTTTCAAATTTACATTATATAGTTTCTTGATGTTGAATTCCTGTGATTTTATTCAAATCAGAGCAGTATTAGGGATATGTATTCTTTGCTTTATGAATTTTTATTTTATTTTATTTTGCCATTCCTGCAACGCCAGAATGGCTAAAGCACAACACTAACAGTTCACATCATTTTCTCAGTATTTCAGTACGATACGATTGAGATTAAAAAATGAATCATTTGACTTTAATACATCATAGTATTAAAAAAAAAACAGACCTAATTCTTTGCTCCTCAAACTATTTCTAATGTACAAATGTCAAAGTGCATGTATTATATGTATGTGCAGTGATCCCTACAGGATAAACTGCAGAGCTATGTGATAAAGTATGTTAGTGCACAATTCATCCTCACCTCACCTGGACTGTGCTCACCACTCATCTCAATACTAAAAAATTATACAAACACTTCAGATCTATCACACAATTTCAAGCATCCGCTTTTTGAAAACAAGCAAGATACATTAAAAAATTTCTTTTCTCCAAATATGCAATTCTCCATAGAGTCTAAATCCTCATGCAGCACCAGTCATGAACTAGTGACAAGCAGACAAAGTAGTATTTTTACTTGTAAACTTTCCAACACATGGCTTTTCCTCAAGCATTTTTCAAAACTTTAAACTCAAAAATTATAATACAAAAGAAGTAAACATGTTTTTTCAGAAAGTTAAGAAATGTTAATGGCATACCTTTTTTGACTCTGTGCAGTCTAAGGTTGGACTCACAGTAGCTAAGTTACAGAAGCAAAATACAAGGAAACACAAAACAATAAAACCTGCCACTTCCCTGAAAGGCTTTTAGAGCAGGATTTCTCACGTTATAATTATGAATAAAACAGCAGGTCCTTTGCTATGGTCACCAGTGCTAACCTGGAATTACTTTAACTGCCTTGTAGATTTTTTTTGAACGAATAAGGCATTCTTCCTCAGCTAATGTCAATGAGACATTTTTACTATGACAACATGCATTTTCTCCATTATACAGGTAAAAATGTATCCTGCAGTCATCATGTCGGAATCTTGTGATATTGAAAATGAGTAAAAAAAAGGAATGCATGTGGTTATTAATAAGCAACAAGACAAATAGTGAACATATTGTACACTGAACGTATGTATGCCTGAAGAGTTATAAGTAGAGGCAGCATCCCTCCATCAAAGTCAACAGAAAAATACTGACTGGCATCCACAAGATCAGATAAACAATATTTCATTTATTTTTCACAAAATAATCTACCTGTAATTTTTTTTGAAAGACCACACACCGCTTTTACAGTACATATTCTTTCATACGTGTAACCTTTTCAAAGCAAAACCTGTATTTTAATCTTGTTTCTTTGACTATTTGACAAACATTTAGCCATTAAATCTAAGGTAAATAACTTTTTTTTTGCAGAGTAGCTTTCACATTTATCACCAAGAAGCAATACTATTTTTCATTTCTTCTATCAGCAAATCAGCAGCAATCTGGTAGACTTTCAGAGTTTTCACAGAATGTATTAAACAGCTACTGAAGATTTAATTGATCTGAAAACTTATTATTAACTTACTTTAGACATCTTGCTCTTGGTGTCTCCTGTTAAAAATGCCAAATTGTTGATTTCATTCTGAATCACAAAATTTTGTTCTTCTCTTTTGAAATTCTAAAAACAAAAGAAAAATTACTAGAAGTTTAATTTATCTGTATGTACCACATTCACATTTACAGATAGAATAAAATAGAGGAAAAAAAACATATCTCATCTTACATGTGATTTACACCACAGGATGAAAACTTCAGCTACCATTCGAAAGAGTTCATCAGAATCGGCGTCTGGTTTCTTTAGCCAATTGGCTCTGATTACAAAAATAAGAGAAATTTAAAGTAAAACAAGTGAATATAGATATTAGCACTCCAATTAGCAGATTGGGTTATATTTTTGGAACTTAATTAGAATCACTTCAATTTTCCATGATCGTGGTTACAAAGACCATTTTTCATGGCACTTCAACCAGTTTCCAACAAAATTCCTAATTTTTGCCTACCCCCCTTTCCCACATTGCCAGTACACATTTTTGTGCCTATTTCTGTGGACCAGACTAGAAAAAAGACCTGACTAGAATATGCTCTTTTGTAAAGTATTTCTCTCTCTCCTTTTTTTTTTTTTTTTAAGTGACAAGATAGAAACTGTGGTTGAACAGAGACAACTATAATGGGAAGAGGAGGAAGAGAACAGACGCATGAATGGGTGGGTAGACTTGAAGGGAGTTTCTAGCTGGATTTCTCTATACTTTAGTTAATTCTATGTTTTTAAAACTGCAAGTGTTCCCTTGCAAACAAGCTCTGGCATAGTAACGTCCTGAGTTAACCTAGAAAGAGCAATAGATTCTCAGTGTCAGTTCACAGCATAAATGATAACGCATGCAAGGAAAATGCGTCTAGCTAGTCAGATGTGTATTAGCATCTAAAAACTGTAAGTGGGCACTGACTGTGTATGAAAGAACAATGTTCCTAAGGATAGGATTAACTCTTTTGAAGAATATGTAGGAGGCATGTTCTGAGACAAAAGAAAGGAAAAGAGTAAGCACAAAATATTCCTTCAGCAAACTGCTGAGGAGAATACCTCACGGTCATTCTAAAGGTAATACAATGTTGTCCAGGCGTTTTTATTCTCCTTCTTAAAAAAGTAGATGATCATCTTTGTAGTATCATCTACAAATACAGCAATTCAACTGAGGTAAGATTATCTTCTACTCCTTCGTTAGCTGTTAAAGATTTAACTATTTTTCAATTTTGGAAAGATATATTCCTGTGTAATGACATTGGGTTGTTGTGATATATATAGTAAGTTTGGTCAGGATATGCATTCTCCATTGTAACACTGCAGATATAATATAATCAAGTCAAAATGTAAAACAAACAAAAAGACATGAGAAAAACAGGTGCAAGTTCGAGATACATCAACCTATCAGTTAAGGATGTTATAATACTCAGGATCCTATTCTCAGCACAGCATTACATTCATTATGTTCTTTCTGGTTATTTGAACATGGACTCCAAGTAAGCTAACTATTAAATCTGGAGTAAATTATTAGTTTTTACTCACCTGTTGTTGTCTACATAACGTATCAACATTGGATAGAAGGCATAGAGGTCTCGGCAAAGAACAGCAAATTCATCAAGAATGAGCAGCTCAGCTTCTTGGGTGTCACTTTTACTGTCTGCTCTCAGCTGTTCCTCTTCCATCACGATCTTTATAGCTTTCTTCTTCAATTTATCCAATGTCGGAATAAAGTGAGTTTTCAGTAGATCTGGTCTGGCTTTGCTGATGATGGGTTGAGCATAAACTATACATAAAAATATATATGATCCTACAATTAATGCACAATTGATATTTGAAATCATATTAATATGAACCCTAAAGTTCTAGCACACTTAGAGTACGTAGTGCTCCACGTAGTTCCATTAATAACCATTCATAAAACTATTAATATAGCTTTATAATACCTGTGTGTGCTGAGAGATAAGAACTAGCTACTGAGAATTAGATAGTTACTCAATGTCACAAAATGAATGTATTTTGAGACAACTTTCTGCTCATTTAATAGCTGGCACTCAGACAGACAAAGTAACTCATTATAAACTTTGGTTACTACTGGGATTATTTCAACATATACGCTTTTTTCCTGATACTTCATAAAAAAAATTTACAGGAAGACTGAAACCTTTACTGCAATGCTTAATTCCTAAGTGTCTTGAAACTTAATGGCACCCACGACTCCAAATTAGATACTAAGGCTCTCATCCACTGCACAGGGAAGGTTAGATTGTCAAAATCCAGTATGTTGTATAGAAAGCCCTCTAAAACAGCTACAGGCAAACACCAAGAAAAGATGAAAATTCAAGGAAAGATGCAAAATTTAAATGAATTCAGGCTTTAATCAATGTCTAGAGCTCATGATCATAAACCATCTCTCATATTTATGTATCCACTTCTTTACAATAAGCTGGAAAGCGGTATTGATCCGTTGTGCTCCATGACCTTGTAACTAGAAAATTACCCAGCAATTCGCAGTGGAACTCTTATTACTCAAGCTGTTCCAATCCACATTAAAACAAAATTTCTACTTTTGAGGAGAGCGATAGCAAAAGGGAGAAGCGGCCTAGTTGCTAGGATTCTCATCTGGAAAAGCAGAGTTGATGGTCAGGTTCTCATCCCTGCTCCGGTAGAATATTTATTGGTTTATGTAAAGTGAATCCGCTTAACAAGGTCTTGGGACAGCTCCATACTTGACTAATCAAAGTATCAATGCAAAAAATACTCTGAGGAAGAACTATTCAAGTTCAAAACTAGGCAGGCAGAGGAAAAGACTGAGATTAGGATTTAAATCTGATATTCAGGATGAATGATCATCACTAGGCTCCTTCTCCTGCCCTTGTTTTACATGGGAAAGGGCATGCTCAGACCACACCAACTGGACCAGTTATCCAAAGATGAGTGCCATATAGCTCAGAAATATAAATACTTTATAGAGTTCTATGTGTATGGCCCGGCAAAATTGTGGGTGCCTAGTGTCATGCTCACAGCAGCTGACACACCAGAGTATCGATATTGTTAGGCCAACAATCCTTAATTAATGGAGCGTCTTCAAGGTCAGGCAGAAATTTGAGAATCAATGTTTTGGATGTTACCTCTCCGTATCTGTTTGCAGTGGTGCTCACGATACATGCATAAAAACAAATAATAAACTTTTTAAAGTTAAAATTGCTTTCTTGCATTGTTACTTTTCTACTTGTTAGCGGAGTTCTTCCTGTTGTTTTTAGTTAAAATTTATTTTTATTATTATATCACTCAGTAATATGATAAATTGCAGCAAAGTAACTACACATTATTAGATACAATTACTTCTAAAAAATATTTACAGTACCTGCAATTCTCTTCATCCAAGATGCTTCATCTATTCCCAGATTGTTGTTGATGATTTTCAAAATGTTTCCCAGAATGGTGCTCAGATGCTCAGATGTTATCATAGTACAGCAGGGCCCAGCACTTTCAGGCATACTTTCAGACCCTCTTTCCCACCAGTAAGACAAATAGTTGCATAGCATAGGTAAGATAACCTCAATTACATGAGGCATTTCAGTATACCTGGCACCAGACTCTGCTAAATCATTAATTTCCTTCATTAGTCCATCCAACTGAGGGATCTCTGGACACATCTCTTCTACCGTATCAGGCATACCTAAAACTGCATGTTAGGACAGAAAAGGAAAAGTTTAATTAACAAAATGAAGAGAGCATCTACAGTCATCTATTTTCAAACCCTGAATACAAATAACACAATAAATAATCCTAAATACAAATTGTCACTCCGGTTTCTCTCTGCCACCATCTTGGTCAGATTATAGTAACATTTTGGGACATGCACAAGTCTCTCATCTCATAAATTAAGCCTTGCCGATGATGTGCATACAGCACTGATGAAGACAATAGCAGTCACAAAGCTTAAAAGGCAAAGTTCTTCCCATATGCTCATTCGCAGCTATCTCATGACCAGACTAACTGTGTAAAAACTATGTAAAAATGCAGGACTGAGATCTTATAACAATATTAAATAAACTCTGGCCATTGCTTTTGTAATCATTCACAACTTTGATGTCCACCTGCAAAAGTTTAAATCCACCCCAAGGATCAGGAAATAAACAAGTTTTGAGTAATATTGCAAACAGCTCATAATTATGGGTAAGATAAAATTCAAGTGTACCCAACTCAGATTCATGCTGACCTCTTCCTGACCACTCTCCATGAAAAGTCTTAACTACAGTTGGTTAAATTTCAGTAATGGTGACTTAACTATTGAAACGTAAAGTATAAGGAGTGAATACATTTATTTGGAAACCAGGTAGACAAGTTGTTTTTCCTAGCCACAGCATTTTCTGTCCATTTCCTGAAACTTCTGCCTAATTAGACCATTCAAGAACAGTCTCTTTCATGGTTTTTCTAGCTTCATCCTTCTGAACTCTCAGATTACATTCAAATATAAGGTGAGGCACAGAGCATTGCTTGCAGTCATGCACTTCCATCCCTCCTTCGTAATATTTTCCCTCAAAGATAACAAGCTTAGTTTGAGATTTTTGGTCTACAGTGTTAAGAGCTGAAGGAGCTAAAATCACCCACATCAGAGAAAAGCTGCTCCCCCTCCATGCTTCCCCTCAACCCCAGCCAAAAAAAAAAAAAAAAAAAAGAGCTAGGAAAGAATTTCAATTCTCAGAGGCTGTTATTAAAAAACAAAGAGTTCCTATTCAGCAATTTATAACTCCTCATAATCTAATCCTAGCCATTACAACAAAATTCTTCCACCATTGCTGCTTCTGTAAGCTTGAACTATCAGTGAGGAAGGTCTAGCGCATACTTTTCCCTAATGGCTTTTATCTGGAAGAATAACATTTGATGCAGTAGGGAACCTATCTATTCCTCCCCAAACCCCTCGGAACATCGATGGAATTTCCAGATCTTATTTTGGCAGGTAATGACTCTTACATGGCTCAATGCCAACGATAGTTAGTCAAGAGTTAACTGGGAGAGAAGCAAGTTAAAAAAACATTAGTAGAAAGACTCCTGCTTCTTTGAGTAAGGTTTCATGTAATCAGTTTCTGTTGGAAGTTCCCTATATACAACTGCACTGGAGTACTGGATAAGACAGCGTATGTATTTTCCCGGATCACATAAATAAGGAAGAAAATGCACCTTTTTCATGTTGCCAGCAAGAACAGATAATTGTACAATTTTCTAAAACATTTTGTAATGTGGATGTGAACTTAGACTAAGCTTCAAATGTTACTGTATGCAACATCAGAAAAGAATTCAAACAACATGTTTAGAAAGATATTCACACGTGCTAGGAAAAAGGGAACGATATTAACACAGTCTCAATAAAGGAGAGCAAGGCTAAAATGACAAGTAATGACAGACTATTAGTGGGATTTATTTACTGAGTCACATTTTTTATTACAATTTCTTTCTATTATTTGGAGAGAAGCAAACATCTGTTTTTGGTTGTTATTGCCTGAGGAGCAGTACTTACTGGCTCTTTCTCTTGCACTTTTTGTGTTGAAGACAGACAGAGTATTGTAATGGTTGAGAGAAGGTTCAAGGAATGCTACTGGAATGGCTGCTGCAAGAGATGCTAAGCACTCACCAAGTGCTGGGCGCTGCCTGTATATGACAGATAATAAATGTTATCTGAGAGGAAAAGCTATTCACTAGGCTATCAATATCTAGCATGCACTATAAAGTAGCATTGACACTTATTCCTGATTCAGTTTATCATTTTTAACATACCAGGAACTACTCAACAATTTTGAAAAATTGTTTCTTGCGTAAACAAAACTATTGGAAATTACAGTGGCATAGGAACCCAGTAAAAAACAGACAAGTCCCCTTGCCCCCAAGTGTTTCATATTAAAGGTTAACTGTTCCTCAAATGTTGTTCAGAAGACAAGACATGTGGTGGCTGTAGCATTCTGGATTAATGAAGAAAAATCAGCAATTAAAATTGAAAGCAGTGTCAGAAAAGACAGGATTTGGAAAGATACCAATATCAGTAATTAATTTATCACATTCCTGACCACTAAATACTGAAATAGTTTGGCTCTACACATGGTTAAGTCCTAAACAATTCTTTAGAAAAAATCTGTATTTCATTTTAAAATGAGTATGAAATGTTGGAATGTACAGAACAGCATTGCAAACTGAGAGGCTGTAGAATGCACATGCTTGGAAATTTTCAAAATTACTAAACAACAGTCCTGTTGGGAGTCTTTCAAGTCATTCCTTCCATCTCATCCTTAATTGCCTAAATAAATTTTGATTTCACAATCATGTAAGAATGTAAAGGATATGCAAATATATAGCTCTCCAACTTTTTCTTTGCAGGAGAGACAGTGGATATTTTTCAGACTATGTAAACAAATTGGCAAAAACAATGGCCTTATTGGATTGAAAAATGTTATGAAAAGTATTTATGTTCATTTGAGTGTATTATAGAACATGATATATACAAAATTACTCTGTTTCAAGGGTAAGCATTCATTTATTCTCTCTAGAGAATTACTTTCACAACTGTCGTGCATGGGTGTATGTGAGATCAAGTAGAATTTCAAAAAAATCTTTTTTCTAAAATGAAGAAAAGATTTTTCCACGCAAACCTTGCTCATCAAGTGAATTCACTGTTCAGGATACTAATGATTTTTTTTTTTCATTAATGGTTTATAATATCAAGCTTTTCTTCTGCAGGTTTTTCATAAAATAATATATACAGAGAAAGAAGAATAAAAATGTAAAATGAAAATCAGCCATAATCACAAGGTCACTCTACAGAGCATTTATTTAAAAAAAAGTTTGCTGTTTACTGCCATTTTACTGTTTTATGAAAATGAAAAAGGCAGAAGTTAAAGACCACAAAGTTAAGAAGAAGCTACCCGCTCCTACGTACTTAGATGATTTTTCTTACATTCTGCCCATTCATATAGGACACGTTTTGCAATCAAAGACATGATGCATTAATATCACAGATAGCAATCACAGAATATTTCATTAAAATCAAGGTTTTGATAATGTTACAACTGCAATCATCAATCATTTTTGTGTGCAGAAATGTTCTCTTCCAATTTAAATTTTAATGAAAAACATAATACTATAAATTTAGGAGATTTCATAAAATTCCCTAAAAAGGAAACCTTATTACATCTTTGCCTGCCATTGGATCAAGAAGAAAAAACTTGGTACACATTAAAAAAATTTCAAAAGACTAACATCAAACCCACAGAGGCTATTTAATCATATGAATGAGAATATCAAAATGTGTACCCATCTTTCTAGAGAGAAGGAGGATACCAGGAAGTTGAAAGAAGAACAGATATACGTTTAAACAACAAGGATAAGAAAATTGCTCTGGCTAAACAGATATTCTCTGTCACGTGGAAGCCCTGAATGAGAGAAATCAACGGAAAACAGCCTATAACTTTGCAAGACAGAAATTACAACAGATACGAAGAGAATTTCAGAGCAGATAGTCACTAATATAAAAAGCAAATAAAGGAAGTAAACTATGAACCAATAAATATGCCAGGGAACTGAGTGATTCAGTAGACTACCATGAAGTAAAAGACACTTAAAGAAAAACTAAATTAATTTTTAGACACAATATGTTAAAGATGACAACTGGAAGCATTAGCTTGAAAGCATGGGGATGAAATGTCAGAGGCTGGTGTGCCAGTCTTGGAGGGAATGGAAAAAACTTGCAATAACCAAATCAATCAAGATGTTGAAAAATCAAAGCAAGATAAAAGATACCACGAATTGATGGTAATTAGGAAGAAGCATTCCCTATTATATCATTGTTACAACAGACTTTTTTGAATCTTCTCCAAAGCCTTCATTATGAGCAGTCTCAAACAGGTCACACTGAGGTCTTAAACTGAACTATCTGGATAGCCAGTATGACTGAATACCACAATTCATTTTTTTATTTATCCACATACCTAACAACCATAAATGTGCTGTGATTTCATAACTTAGGCAGGAGTTAAGTTTATATTTCTTATTATTGATATAGATATTTGATAATTTGTGCTAAAAATCCTTTGGAAATGTGTTTCTCTAAACTATTAGTTCCAGGAGAAAATCAAGGTGCCTTACAGGGACACCCAACTTTTGAGTGCTGGGAACAGGGAATTTTCGAGCCCAAATTCAGGACCTAAGCAGTTTCCCATGCAGTGAATGGGAGGAATTAGGTACTTGAGAATGGGACTCATAATGGCCAGAAAGCCGATAGCAATAGCACCACATCTACCTGTAGAGAACTAGCGCTTGCAGTACTCAGACTACTACATTTTCTAAATTCAGCCCCCAAAATTTATCAACCACACAGACAGAGAAGAAAGGTTCAACACTAAAAATCATAAACATCTCAAACACCCTAAAAAAGATAAACACTTTTAGTACAAAGGAAAAATTCCCTGAAAATGAAAGTCTGTCACAACAGGGCAGAAGCAATCCAAACTAGTATCAGTTCTGAGTCCCAGTAGCAGGGAGTCTTGCAGAATCACCTGAGCTCTTTCAGCCATGGAAAGTGATTTTTATGTATGAAAAATGAACCATGCTTCATGCTACAATGGAGGGTAAAACCCCTCAATGTCTCTGCCAAGTTCACTAGGGAAAAAAACTACGTTTTGATCCTAAATCTGAGGGATGGAAGTGATCAAGGCAGCGCAACCATGCGCTTTCACATTTTCCTGAAATACTGAGCAATACATTTGAAATTCTGCTTCCCACCTAGACACTGAGACCTGCCTAAAGTAAAGAGCCTGAGTAAAACTAGTGACATAAACTAAGTGAAATCCACAGCTGGAAACCTCTCACACAGCCTTGAGAGACTAATTCATTTCCTTTTCTGACCCAATCACTCTTTCTTTCCAAAAAAGGAAAGGTGATGCTACTAATACACGTTTAATAGAATTGTCCAGAGTTTATAGACCTGCCAATGAAGGTGGAGGCCTAGGATGTAAGATCATTTCATCCAGAGGCAACTTCAAACATAATCACTTTCTGTTTCCTGTGAGAACATCCTGACTCAGGATGAGCAGGCATAAGGCTCTTTCTATTTCTTCTATCAGATTTGTGTAAAAGTTTATTTAAGATTTATAAGTTTATAGAGGAGCAAAGCAAGAGCAATAACTTTGTAAGCTTTGATGGATGAGTGAATGTGCACATATGTGAGGATGAGCTTATGCACACAGGTATATGCCTGAAGAGTGGGAGGAAAGAGGAATTGCATACCAGACTGCTCTTGCATTTTGCATTAAAGAATTACTGAATAAACTCTGCAAAGAAGGAAATGGAGCCTAATGTTCCTCCTCCTAGGCAAAGGCTCTCCTAACTGGACTACAGAATCATATTTCTTCCAGTTTAGACTCTCAGGTCCTGTGAATTTTTAATTTTTAATTATAAGGCTCATGTAGAATGCCTAAAATGAGGCCTTCAGAAGAATAAGGAAGGGTTATGATCGCCTCTGCTCCTATCTTGTGACAGACAATCAATTAGGGATCCCTTTTACGAAGCAGCAGATGTGGATTTGAGCCTCTTCTAACGGAAGAGGGCCTGAATTTGTATTTTGGAGAGTATTACAGCTATTAGATTCTTAAAGGAATTGTAGGCACCACTCTCTAAAATGCAAGTAATTGTGATTTCCTGTATAAAGACAGAATCCCTACATATACTCAGGTGCCTTTGGATTTTATGCTCAGGACAACTATTTTGTAGATGTGAGAGAGACACTTAGGTACTCAGTCTACTTACCCCAGCACTGTCTCTCATAACACGTAGTAGGCAGATTCTGGGATCAATAATGGTAACTCCTGGAAAAATTTAGCTTTCCCAAAGGGAAAAACTAAGCTTCCTGCAAACACTCAGTCGTTAAAGCAGGGTAGGATGTTTGCTTTTGTTTGATTTGGGGTTTTTTGTGGGAAACTGGACTCTTAAGATTTAGGCAACTGCGTTCCACCTAAAATATATTTTAAACATGCTTATTCTGCTTCAGATTCACCTTTCATTCAAACTGCTTTATTAGACCAACAATACATTCCTGAACTAGAGAAAACCATATATGCCAAGTTTTTCATTCAATACCTTTCAACATAGATGTTCTTCCCAGTCCCGAGGGAGTAGAGGCTACAAAGAATTCTGTAACATGAAACTTGTACATCACCCACTAGAAGAAAAAAGTAAATTGTCAGTATCTGTTCATCTAAAGGTCACTTCCTGAATCTAAAACAAAACATACGTTACGGAATGTGGTAAATGGTGTTTAAAATATTTCGTATATATATTGCAAAACACTTTTATACTGCCAATACTGCACACCTATATTATTTATTTACAATTTCTCCAGTAGCCATCGTGTCATCTATACTCATCCCAGAACCTAACAGATCATCTGACATTCCAACAGGCCAGCAGATAATTGTTAATAAAATATTTCAAAGTATCACATTTGCAGAATATAATTTTAACTTAAACCACAGCAGTCTGCTTGTGTAACCTCCAGGCACTTGATTGAAAGGCTCCTAACCTTATAGAAAGTCTTTCCATAGCTATCAATGTTTTAATTGTCTTCTACATTTGAACTGTGATTCCGCGAATGTATATGAGATTTCAGTTCAGTATATTCCTGAACCTCAAGGAGACATTTCAGTAATAGGAACTACTTACTTCTTTTGTCATTAGCATGTTCAAATTTTAAAGATGTTAAAAAGTAAAGAAACTTTAAATTAAAAGAAGCTAAAATGACTTTCCAATGCAAGAAAAACTACAAGGAAGTAATAATGGGAGTTGTCTCATTTTAATCTAATGAGGTGAAAATATGTAACAAAAATAAGTTACATTTTATTTTCTATAGGAATCCTTAGTGTTATTATCAATGCAGTAGATAGAAGAACATTTAAGGGGAATTCATAATTTCCCTCTCATAATGTTTGGGAGATATATTGCACACAATCAACTTGAAAATTACTGAGTAGTATGTTTAAATATGAAATAAAGTATTCTAAATTCCGTTAACATCAAAATATTAAAAACAAAATGCTGCTAATTTCAGTTTTAATTCTGGTAATATTTAAGTGTTGAAAATAGAATTTCATCTTTTACATTCATACATTCATTATTAAAAGTGATTGTAGTATTATAACATAATAAACTCTGAAAAAGAAAATTCAAGACTTACAAAGTAAATCAACTCCAAACTGATACTGCGAAATATGTTCAAAAATTGATGTTAAGATAGGTAACAATGCTACCGTAGTGTAATTAATATTCTGTGAAACACCCTTGATCTGTGTTCGTGAATGGGTAAATTTTCCAAGTTTAAGATTTTCTGATGTTTTTTCCAGATCTTCAGCTGCATTTTCAAAAAAAGCACGCAATCCAGCTTTAACTAGCTCAGATCCCGATTTCATAACAGTTCTGAAAAACAGTAGAGGGTAAAATTAATTTTGCATTAATCTTCAATATATGTACAGATATATACATATACATGTTGCTGACACTCAACTAGTCTTTGAAGATACGGGTGTATATCAGTGAACTTTACATTATGAACTGAAAAGTACAGCTATATCTACACAGCAGTATAGGCAACAATTAACTTGGAATATTTCACAAAATAATAACAACAAAGAACTTCCACAGTCTTGTACTCTTAGTTTTTTGTGATCTGCCTCCAAATATGACAGCGTCCTTTCAGCAAACGTCACCGCTCCTTTCATAGGTGGTGAGAAAATTCCTCTGTATAACATGCTCAGGAAAGGTAAGTCTTAACTTCTAAATGCTTATGGGCTAGGTATCCAAGACAGGGTACATGCTTAGTTGTATTCAAAGCACCCTATATCTAGAAAAGGCAATCACAATGTGAGCATCACAGTCCCATTTCTCAATCTTTTTGTACATTTCTCCAACAGCTTCCTGAAATTTTTCTGCGCTGTTATTCACAAGTTCAGTGCCAGGCTGCTGTATGACACAACGAGGCCAGAAAATAGGTCCAATAGGAAGATTATGCTGGTCCTCAATCCTATGTTTGAATGTTCTTAAGCATTTTAATGGTAATCAGTAAAAGCCAGCAAAATGTAACTATGCCCATATATTAATACCTTCTGCACACTTCTAATCCCAGATTTTCAACTTTGCACTAAACTTTCCCAGTATCTACAAGTATCAATACCTGCAGTTCCAAAGTTTGTCATTTATATTTCCCAATAAAATCTTCAAATGCCAATAGAACGGGTGGCAGAAGTTTTCTATGTTTTCATATTTAATGATGGAGAACAGAAAACAGTGAATGAAACCCTACATCTGCTAGTACTGAGGTCACCGAGGTATCTATGCTGCTAACAGCATTCAATACAAGTAAGGAATAAAAAAATACAGAAATAGCCACAGCCCAACTGCTCCTCGAGAGCTCTGTGAAACAGATAGTTTGTACCTGGTACTGACGTGCTGAAATTTTGTAAACCTACCGTGTGTCGAGAGACTGAGCTAAAATGTGCAGGCAGCTCACCATTGTAGCAGAATCACTACCTGTTTTAAAAATATAGCAAAAAAGATATATTATGAGACCATAATAATATAGGAAATGCAGGACAGTCTAATCATTACAAAAATGATACTATTGGAGGTGCAGAGGTTAAACAAGACATAAGATAAGTCTTCTCCCTCCAGTCACTGGAGTGAGAGTTAGGTCTACCTCTAGATCTAACTTTCTATTTTGTAAGTCTATTTCTACACAACTGAAAATAACAACCAGTGTCTGCCTATGGCTCATTTTCATCACTTGACTCCACAACATTTTGAATGTGGTTTTGAATTTTAAATCTTGTAGTATCCACCTTTCTTTCAAAACTTTCTTACCAGTAGCTATGAAAAGGTATGGGTTTTTTTTCCCCTTGACTCTCCCCTAAAGCTTCTATTTATTCAAGCACCAACAGTTTACATATTCTATTACCTGCTACCTTCAGAGGCACGTTTGACGCTCTCACTAATTACACTGGAAGTAGTAATCTTCATTTCATCATTGTTTTATGGAATTTTGCCCATAGTGTGTGACAAGTTTCAGCTACTATAGAAACATTACATATTCTTCATATTTTTAATTTCGAGATCTTTCTTAACAACTTACCAAAAAGTGAAATCCTATGTCTAACAAGAGCAGCTAGTTTGCAGAACAAGCTGAAGTAGAAAAGGAAGAAAACAGCAAGACAAGACAAAACAAGACAAAGATTAAAGATTTGCTTAGAATATGAGGTAGAAAAAGAGTAAGACTATGAAAGAGAAAACACTCCATAGTTCCCAGAAGGTATATTTTGAATTATATATAACAATAATCGTCAGTCTAGTAACTGCATTAAGTAGCATAACCTTTGAAGCTTACACATTCGCCGGTTCTTTAAGATTCTCTAATTCAGAAATGACTTGAAACATGAGATTTTCTTTTAATTACAGCAGTTTCCTTTATATATTATACGGTCGGATCATTCTTTATGGCTAGAATTTTTTCTGAATAAAAATTTTTTTGCAAGAAATAAAACTGAGCAACATTTTTGTGTTTTGCTTGTCACTCTACAGCAAACTAATGTCATCAAACTTCATATAATTTAAAATAGAGAAAATACCCTTGGCAAACATTTCACCACCTGTGTTTAGCCATTGCTGATAGGTAAAACTAATCCTGAAATAATTACAGAACAGAAGAGTTTCTGACAAATATGTCAGGAGCTTGTATGCCTAACTTTTAACTATGAAGATAATAGGATATATAAGCGAAAGAAAGCATCACCAACTTTCTAAAGATAAAAGGGCTATCATATTTTCTAAAAACAAAGACATCTAGGCAGACGTACTTATTTGTGATACATTTTGTAATTGGAATTAGGATAATATATGATAGTATTTTATGTTATACAGTAATTCTATAAATATATAACATATATTAATGTTATGTAAGTATAACAATGTAATATAAAATAACATAATGTAACCTAGCATAATTGGAATTGATATGGTCTCCTACTAAAAAAACATTAAAGCCCCTTGCCATTTTTAGTATTTTTGTCTTCAGTAAGGAAAAACTATACCATAGGAGGAAAATATTGGTAGTTACTTTTCTCAGCTAAGAATGGACAAAGATTTATAAGACATTTCTGGACTTACAACAGCAGGCATTGAGGCTAGGCATCTAACTTTTTTCATGTGCCTCTAAAGCTATTTTATAAACACCTAATAAGCATCTGTCTAGCTTTATAAATCTGAGCTGACTGACTTCAGGGAAGTTATATGACCATTCAGAGAAGAAGCATGAAATTGCAATGAAATGAAACTTCCATCCTCCTGAACCTGAGCTGCGTTCACTGCTGCTGGAGGACCTAGAACCTTCCTGTGTACTTATATATACTACATCTGAAAGTTAGTAAGGCTGTATCTCAGGAAATTAACATAGTCACTGCTACAAATTAACAGTTATGGGTATGGATAACTGCTATTATAAGGACTAAAACCCACCTAGAAGACAGTATACAAAAGGGAAATGATAATTCAGAGAAAAGCAAAAGTACTTTGGAACATAAAATGGAGGATGGCACCTAGCAAGTTCAGTGCTAGGTCTGGTCTTACTTATCAACAAACAAGTAATTCTGTATTTCTGAAATTTACATCCAACCCTTCAGCTGGAAAAAGCTGCCAATTCTAGTCAATATAGTGAAGGAAAGTGAAGAGAAATCTGAGAACCTGATAGTTTAAATAAGAAAACATGAGAGTAAAATACAGTTTGAAAGATTATAATACAAAATTTCCCACAGAAAAGAATTGGTATCTCTCCTTCAAGGGGGAGAAAAATTTTGGCAATAAAAATGATGGCAGGCAAAATAATAAACAAATTAAATATGAATTTTTTTAGTTAATTGTAGAAAAATGAAATCCTTATTTTTATAAAGACAATATATTATAAATTAAAAGGCAACTTTATGAATTAAAAGGCAACTGTCCTTTTATTAAATTTTCTAGAATTACTTTGAGTCAAATGGCTGATTCTACCTGAATCTGACACAGTATAGAAGGCTAAAAAATTATTAAATCTCAGCAACTTTTTTGGGGAGGGGGGAGAAGGCATTTTGGAGAGAGAGACAGAACCCCAAATTACCCCTAAAAAGCTGCATAATGGTATTGTCACATTTTCTGGTATCTGAAAATTCAATTGTGAGACAATTTAAATGGCCCAACAGTGGGATAAGCTTTGGTCAGAAACTGCCTTCAACAATGAAACATAAATCCATTGAAGATTAATCGTTATTTGTTCTGCTGCTCACAGAATTACTCGTTAATGTTCCTGATGCCATCATTTTCACAATGCAATGTTTAGCTTAAAGTGCTTCACCGACAGAAAAAAAATTGCAAATTACATAAACAGAAAGGACAGGCAAAACCAGGAGAACGTAACTTAGTATCAGAAGAACTACATAGTAATATCTTTTAGGCTTCAACATCATCTCCAGAGAGAAACACAGAAACGTATGACACTTGGGAGAGAGATCTGCACACTGAATAAAAATGAAAGCTCTCTTATTAAAACATAGGCCATAGGCTACTACTGGACAGTGTCCCAGGGAGGCATAAAAAACTCAGTTTCTGAGTAAGTCTTGAAAACCACTGAGTGTGACTAGCAATATTCTTTTATATTCCTTCTGCTCCAGCACTAACTAGTTTCCACTACAGACATGTAAAAAAAAGCTTCACTGGCCCATGCCAGACTTCCCTGACTTTCCTTCCTTTGGTTATCAGTCTGACAATGACACAGGCAGATGAGATGTCTTCTCAGTGGATCCTAGTTGACAAAGAGCCATTGAGAATTAAAAAACAGGAAGCAGGATGAGGGACAGCAACCAGCAGCTTCTGAACTCATAGAGAACAGAAGTTAGATCGAGAATTTGAGAATGGGAATTAAGAACCTGGGAAAACAGGCAAGTTATACTAACAAAGAATGAGTAGATAGGATATAATGGACATCAGACATAATGGAAGAAATCAAATAGATGAAAATGCTGCAAAATACATCCCTAAACAATTCCCAACGATCTACTCTCCAAGTATCTCCCAACAACATCACCCCACATATGCCTCAGTCAACTATTAGTTATCCTTTACATTGTTCTAAGCTTCAAGGAAACAGGCAATGGTAAGATATATAGGATCCTTGTGCCCCTTTTTATGACATTCTAGCACAAGGCTACTCAATTTTTTTGGTACATCAGGCAATTTTACTAAAAGCCACACACAAAAACTGGGGCACCACAGAACATGCAACAATTGTCCTCTACTTTCATCGAGAGAAAAGGGTGCATCGTAGCAATTCCTTCAGCAACCTGGGGACAAGCAACAAATATAGAATTTTCTGCAAGAATTTTGGGGATGTCACATATCTCGGACCTCTGACAAGGCCTGGGTAAAACTTTTCTTGTGATAAAATTGGTATTGGAGCCTGCCAGCTAAACAGTACTGTTCTATAATATCTCATTTGCAAATTCAGCTGACAGAAGTCTTAGGCAAAGAAAACTGTATTTTCCTTATCCCTTAAAAATAGTTTAGATTTTCCTAAATAAAAATTCCTGAAAAGAGTTTATACCAGTAGAATGTTTGTATTGTGTCAGAAGTAATAACTAAAGAGCATTCTGATCAGAGAAGAAATAATCATACAGAAGAACGCCTAGATTCTGAACAGGAAGTTTATCTGGACTTAGCAGTGGTGGAGTGAAGGAAAACTATATTGAGTCTCAACAGCTTCTTCCCCAGTATGTTCTTTGTCCTTCATTTTTTAAAAGTATGTTTTTTCCACAGCTGTTAATGCAGCTAGTCCTATGGGGTTGATCCTATGGCATTGCCAAAATTTGCAGGTAGAAAACAGTCCATGAGTATGAGAAGAAATAAGAAAAATGTCTCTCACACGTCAATGTTTAAGAAGCATTAGGATGATACAGTCAAGACAGTGCCAAAAGATATGAACATATTTACATTTGCCATTGGCTTTTCAATAAAAATGCAGTGACACAAGCCAATATTGAGGATAAAAGTCTTGCTTCAGATAAAAGTCTGATACAGTCAGCTGTCTTGCTTCCTGAGAACTACCCATCCTAAATATCAGGAACATAAACTCTACCATTCCAGCTTGGCCTCACAACTTTAATGCATTTTTATGTTGCTGTATATTCTTTAGGACTTTATACTCATTTCAGTGTTTGTTAAATATCATCTGCAGCACAAGGTTCCACAAAAACTGTATAGAGGAACTTGGGACAGGACACTAACATGCTGGAGAACTGCGGTCAGAAGCAGTATTCTACTCGCAGAGAAAGATTTAAATCTTTATTTTTTCCTTATTTTTTTCCTTTTGTGTCTGCAATGAAGAAAATGCTTGCATTACCTTTTAGTGCTCCAAGTGTCTTATGTTAGCCATGTTTGTGCAGTAGTCCAGCTATGACAGATGCTGCCCTCTCTGCTTTATTCCTTCACATAAGAGGACTGCGTTTTGTAAGGCCAGCTGTTATCCTCTAAACATGTGAAATTTTAGTCTACAATTTACTTCTAAAATTCACATGCAGAGAATGTATAGTTTCCCATTTTTGCATATTATCATTCTTGTTATCAGTTTCTCTATTTAGAACAAAATATTAAATTAATTTGAAAAATATTTTAGTGGGTTTTTTTAATCTTCCCTGATTACAAAGCTACTACTATCAATTCTATAGATAAGGTTGACTTGTTTACATTTTGCTAGTAAGAAAACACTTGTCTTTTTGTCTTAGAGTCTAACGTTTAACTTTGAAAGAAACTATGGAAGCTTTTCTGGTTTTGGCCTCAAGTTTGTCCAGAGACGCTTTAGGAATAAGTAACTGCACAGTATAATGTAAGCTGACTGGTTGCCTTCAGTTTACAATGAAGTAAACAGGAGATAACAGTACTAGAGTTGCTTAGCAGGCAGTACTCAAGGCTCTTGGCTGAGGCATCAATAAAGGTGCTAGTCTACATAACCATCAAACACCTAGTATAAGACACTGAATAGGCATCCAGTGGTATCTATTTTCACCAAGAAATCCTTTAAAAACACTTAACTTTTAAATACTCAAAATAAGAATTCTATAAATATTTATCAGAATTTCTACAGTATTATTCAAAGAATAAACAAAACCTCCTTAAATGTGGAAGTGTCTGAAATGATGTGGAAACTTTAATTATACATTAAAAAAATACTAAGATGAAGAATACTATTTACTTACTACCATTCTACTAAAGAATGAAGCAATCACTATCCCTATGAGGAAACTGAGCTTTTGAATTATCTTTTTCTTTAGTCTAAGAAGAGGCCTTTTATTATCTACATAGAATCATCCTGTATATATCTTAATTTTCTACTTACCTGGCTACCATTTCCTTTTCCTTATTTGATGCATATCCACTGCTACTGAGTGTTTTTGTTGGAGAAGACAGGAAGTACAGGCAGTGATTTGTAAAGTACTGATCAACTAATGGTAAAAGAACCTAAGAAATACAGATACAAAACGTATTTTTCACAAAGCACAATGGTAAATGTAGTAACAACGCTCTGATTGCTCAAAGTTCATTCAAAGAATTTTACTTCTGTAATACCTGTATTTTCTTATTTTGTACACTCAGAGAATGAAAATCTTATCTCTTACAATTTTAATTAAAAGTTGAATAAATATAAAAAAAAGTTACACAGATTTATAGTTTGGATCTAATACCGTAGGGTTTAGTCTTCTCAATTTCAACAATCATAAATATCACTGAAACAAGAGGACCCTTCCTCTCTACTATTTACATAACTGTTCAGTACAGATATAAAGGGAGAGGGTTTTTATTAAATCCTAAATGATTCTTACTCCAAACCTGAGTTTTGACAGTATTTGTCTTGTTAGGTGCAAATATATATAACACTGCTATCCATAGGAATATTTATTCCTGTTAATTAAATGATACTACGTACCCCAGTAATATACTGAGGCAAAAATTTTCAGAAATGACTTATATATTAGGCAACAGTATTTCATTTTATGTTATAAATAAGCTGCCTTTTAATTTCTATGTTCCTTCTCATGTAAAAGAACCTTTTCCAGCAATAACTTCTTTTCTGAAATATCTTTCACCAACGTTCCATTCATTACTTAACCATGAGAAAAAGAGGAAAAAGATATTTTCCTTACCTGCAACGCAGTCTAAGATTACAGATTTCTGTGTTACGTATAATGGAACGTGTAAGAACATTACTTGAAATATTAAATCACTTACTTTGGCAAAGAATTTAATTTCTTGGTCATGTGGAGATTTTTCAGTTTTTCCACTGGTTACAATGGCTTCTGCAAGGATACAGTCAGAGCAGACATGAATGAGAATGCAAAGTTGTCAAACAATAAATAACACAATAGCTCTTTGATGATATAGCCTTACAAACTCAGTTTTGAAGAAATACAAATAAAACAGTAAAATCAGTTTAGCAAGTTACAAAGGTCCAAGAATTCAACCCGCAACTGAAAAACAGATAGCTAATAATCAGAATTTCAATTTCTTAAATACAATAAGAATGTAGCAATCACTAGAAATTTAAACATACCAATGCAAAGGTTTAAATATCAATAAATTTAATGATTTTTGAAACAAAATCTGCAACTTACCCAAATGTGCAATAAACTCTTGAGCAGAGTCAACATATTTTAAAATTTTCTTCAGAAACTTAAATGCAAACCTCTTTTCCATGGATGAAGCATCCAACTCCATGTCATTCAGACCCCTATTTTAAAAAGCATTAAGATAATTGCCACTGATGATGACAGTACTATGAAGCGTTCCAAAAATGCCAAATATTTAGGAAGGCAATAAATCAGCCTAACCAGTAATATACTACATTTATTGTCCTTAAATTGTATAAAAGAAAGACTGAAAGCCAACATGACTTAAGCTACTAAATGAAAATCTAAATATAAGCAACACTCAAACTATCACACTATTCAGAGTATTTTAAAAATTCCACCAGTATGTGCTACTTTCTGCAGATTCATCCTCTGAGATATCTCCAAAGCACCTACCTACATCGCAATTGGTGGTGGGATATCGATCTCTCTGTTTCATGGGGTTATTCCATCCCATGTGAAGGACTTTGCATTTCATTTGCTGAACTTTGCAAGGGTTCTATGAATGGGTTCACAAGCCCGTTTCTCCAGCCCACTAAAGTTCCTTTGAATAGCAGCCCAACTCTCCGACTTATTGACCACTCCACTCCAATTTGGTGTCATCTGAAAATCTGCTAAGGGTGTAATTCTGTGCAGTCATGTAGGTTGTGAATGGGGGCATTTCTTTTCTTTTTTTTCTTTTTGAATTTGAAGTCACATAACTCTACCCATTTTTAATTTTTTCTCTTTTCAAACAAATTTGGTTTTTAAAATTCATTAATTTTTTCCTCTCCACTTCTTCAAGGGTTTTTGTACATTTTCTCAGTTTGTATCTTTTTCATAGTCTTTTTATTCTTGCATTTTGTCCTTCAACACTAAGAGGACTACAACCCTACCTGAGATTTTCAGTTGCTAACTGGGGCACTACACCCAGGATAACAAGTTGGCTTGCCAAGAGAAGAAGTAAGGAACACAATAACATTAAGGGAAACATCTGGTTACTGTAATGACTACTTCGCTTGCTTCTCTACAGATTCTTCAAAAAGCACTACATAGGAAGACACTCCCTTTTCCAATGGGAGGAAAGAACAACTTGGCTAAACCAGATGCAGAAAGCAGGGGGTTGGGAGACTACAGAGGGGTTGGGCAGTGTGTCAGAGGCAGGAAGGAAGTGAAGAATTGGTAGCCTGTGGCACTGAGGCAAGAGGAAGACAGGAATACAGTTGCTGGACTCGGTGTCATGGCTTAAAGAAAATGGTGCTTTATCCTGAGATTCTTTAGCGTCGGTGCAGAATTAAATTTCGAGAAAAGTCTAGGGAGGATAACTAGAAGACTATACAGTTGAAAAAGAAATAGGAGGTGAATCTGAGGAAAAAAGTAATTCTGTGGGAGAACAACAATGCAGTAGCAATTTTAACCAAAACATCTGATACTACAGTATATATACTTGACCATGTCAGAATGGGGGTAAGAGGGATGGAACAGTTACAGTTTGGGGGAACAGAACCGAGGAAGCAAGGAATGCATTTCCAATCCCATTTTGCACAAAATTCATAAAAGGGCTGAGGAGAAGTGGCATTCATACAAACAGTTCTGCGTCTGACGTCCCTCTTCAAGTCCCCCACCTTCTAGTTTCCTTAAAAAAGAAAAAAAAAGCTATTTGAAGAGTCCTAGTTTATACTTTTATGACCTGCTACTCATTGATATACCACGTGTGAAATCTAATGATTTTTTATGTGTTTATTCAAGCATGAGATACACATTTACAACAGCTATGTATGCTTGATAGGAATCTCCTGCTGCCTGATCTCTAAGAGGATAATACAACAAAATTTGTGTCAGTATTTTAGTGAAGTCACCAAAAATATTCTCCTTTTGAATTTGTATTATGTCACGATTGCTAAGAGATTACATGTAATTTCCTGAATACTGAAGTGAATTGGTAGTTCTGTTAAATGACAAAGGCAGCACCAAAAGCACTTGTAGGGGTTGAAAGAAGTTTAAAGGAATAGCAAATTGTTTCTAGTATATACTTGAATAAAGCCTGAGAAATTTATTTCTGTATGTCAAAAACACTCTGGAGTCCAGTGAAAAGTGTTTTCAATAAAGAAAAGGACTAAAAGGCAAAATGGAGACAGATGGTATATGCAAAGCACACACATTGTGCAGCTCACACATTTCCAATTATAAAGAATTTCCGTGTTTTCAGGATTAGTCCAACATTTTTAAGAATGACAGTTTGGAAATGAGGTAATTATGAGCTGCATTTTAAAAGATATTATATATACTTAAAATATGCACGTACTTCATATATGAAGAAAATACTGGGAAGAGGGTACTCTTGACACACAAAATTCACCCTGATACAATAACTTCAAATTCTTTGCCCATACCCACAAACAGCCTCAATGGGCTTTTTCAAAGTAAGCTGGCATGATCCATTATCAGACACTGAAAAGACTGTCCTAACCCTAACAGATGCAGTTACCAAGAGATATTAAAATTAATATTTGAACAAGTCTATTAATGTTCCAAGAACTATGTACCTTTCACTTGCATGAACTAAACTTGTTTCTCTTATACGATGGCTCTAAATCAATTATGTAGGATAAATGTTTCCACATCCTATAATTATGTAGAATAGATGCCTGGCAGCATACTTACATTTTGGTTTCAGGCTGACAGTCTACATATTTGGCAGGATTGATTTTTTTGTTCTACAATAATGCAGAAATGCATCTGTAGAGCTTTGTCTTCTAATGCCTCTACAAATGTTCCTAATAGTTGAAGCCAACTGGAACTAACAAATTAGCTTTTACAGATCCTAATCAACAATTTGTATATTTTTGAACCTATACTTTCACTAAAGGCACAGACTTAAAAGGCAGAAATAAATGAAAATTAGAGCTGTCTCTATGCACATACAGCAAAATTTCATTCATGAAATTTAGTTTAGTTTGCAAAAAATGATTACTGCTAGAAAAGCTGCAGTTTCCTATGGAAAATACCTCTCCCTCAGGTATTTCTCATATAATGATAAAAAATATATATATACACTACTTATGGTACTGTAACTCTCAATTCTGCCAAATAAGGCAAAAAATACAATAAAGTTATCTTTACCCACAGTGTAAGTTCCCACATGACAGCCGAATTCCTGATACAGTAATTCCAGTTATAGTACTACTAATACACTCTGCTCTTCTACTTGAAGAAGTTACACAGGAAATGCCTACGAAACAGGCACTTTGTCTTACTGGTTGACAGAACTCTAAACATTTTTCTCAAAAATTGAATTAAAAGCCCTTCTATGTAGATGTATTTCTGTAGTACCAGACTGAAAGTTTTCCCATGGTCCTTACTAACAGCTGTTTGTTCCTAATCTAAAAGTTTTGAATAGTCTGCTTACTTAATTACTCTACTGCTGCATTTTGTATTTACTATGAGCACATACTAAAAATTTTACTCCCCCACACTATTTTAGAAGAATCTTTCTGAATGTAAAAATAACAAGGACTCTTTGATTTACAGAAGATATGCTACATGGTCATTGTTTAAATAACTAACAGATTGCGGTGATATAAAGAAAATTAGCATGGATTGTGAGGTAAATGGGAGCAAATATTTCAAATAAATATGCACCTTACCGAGATATGAGGATACTATTCACTTGAAGGAATTTGAACAGCTCTTGTGCCTTTTCACGGTCCCGTGATTTCTCCTTGGCGGTCAATGTGTCGTAAGGTACCAGCAAAGGATGACTACCTCCACCTTTGGTAAGTTGAGAGAAATGTAAGCTTTTCTGTTGCAAAACTTCTGTTTGTTTTAAATACAAAAAGCAACTATTTAATTTAGATTGTCTTACACTGTTTTCTTTCAGACTGTTTCTTCTCCCTCATTTTCTTTGTCTTTTTTGTGTGGTTCACAGGATTTCTGGCTTACCTTTGCTTTCCAACTCCATTTTCTTCTTTTTGGCCCATATATTATGGTAGTTTTCTGCCATTACCTCAACCATTCCCTATGTTGCCAACAAGAAAAAAAAAGATGATGCAAAATAAAATGTGACAATTAAAATTTTCTGTAATTCTACAGAAATCTAGTTTTAAGAATATGGTAAAGAAACATCACAGTTAAATCTGTCCATGCTCTCCCCTACATCCCCTCAACAAACTGACTTGGACTGGGCATCCAAGCACTGATCTTAGTAAATATTAAGAAAAGACTCGGAGATGTTTTCCAGACCAAATAAAACAGTGATTAAAGTCAGTACTTATCAGTAATAACTGTTATTATACTACCCTATCTTCTAAGTGGCTTTAGTCATAAAGCAGTACTCCTTAAGTGAGATACTGTAAAACAAAGATTAAAAGGAGAGTGAGCTTCTGCTCCTGCAATCATATGATGCAACTACAAGGCAAGATAGAATGAGAACACAATGACAATACGGGTTAATGTCTAAGAGTGAACTGTTGTATGAGAAGAATCTATGTGGCTGGCAGGAATTAGACATTAATGTCCCCCAAAGGCTATTGCAAGGACAATGGAAAGAGAACCTACAGAGAAAATCAGTGAGAAAGTCTTTCAGAACAGATGATGATACTAAATTAAAAATAGATATTTCTTTTTTAGGAAATACAAATTCCTTTTCATTCGTATATTCTGGCTTACAAAGGTTATGGTCTTCACACGCAAACACTGTAACAGGAGTCTTATCATAAAGTCATAAAATTATTGTACAGGAGAGTCTTGAGGCTATTTCTCTAAAATCTTAATGAAGTACCATTTTGAATACTTAGTGACGGTAGGAAGGAAAAAACGTAACACACTGATTTGGAAATTTAATATGTAGATAACAGTGGACAGCATCACGGCCCATTAGATATGTGAAAGTCAACTTTCAATATAATGCACGGGATAAGAGGGGAAGAGTCAATGGACAAATTTGAAAGCAAAACAAATATGAAGTAGTTTATATTTGTCTGAATACAAGGGTAGAAGCAATAAGGAATGTGAAAATGATAAACACAGGTATTTTCCAAGCAAGTTGGGCATGACTGCAGTAGTTAAGCCTAGAGAAAAAAAGACTACTGAAGGAATCAAAACATGAGATAATAGAACTCTGGATAATATTTTCACTCGTAACGATTAGACTTTAGAGCCTGTCTTAGAGCTAACACCTCACAGCCTCGACTTGCCGGACACTGGAGTGAAAAATAACACTGAGATTACAGGCCTGAGTGACTAGCAGAATGGTTATGTCAACCACAGTGATATAAGGAAAAGAAAGTAATGATTTGCTGGAGGAAGATCTGAGTCCAGGATCCACCAAAAGACAGAGAAATCCACAAGAAGGACATCTGTGAGAAGGACAGAGAGAATGCTTTAGAGAGAATGAAAAAAAGTAGGTTTGTGATTCATGCTAATTAAAGTTTTGCTTCTGGAACAAAGATGGACTGCAGAGTGAGAAAAAAGAGCGAGGACAAAGCCATATAGCGCCTTTACCAAAAAGACGATAAAGATCCCCTTATAGTATACTTTGAGAGAATGATTAGAAAGGTAGGAAGAGAACAAACAAAAGACATCCACAAAACCAAACAAGGACATAATTCGCAGAAGACAGCAGGGAAAACTGCATCAAAGGTGACTGGAGGGTATTGTTAGACAAGTAGCTCTTGGCTAGAAAGAGATCTTCAGAGAATTAACAAGAACAGCATCAGCGGAGTTCAGGGATCAGACACTGCATTTCATGTTGTCCACTCTGAGATTCAAGTAACTATTAGACTAAAGAGATTTACAGTAACTGTTCTTCAAATAGTTGCTGTAAATAGTGAATTCAGTGAACTTTCAGATAAAGGAGAATGCCAACTGAAGGCAAGACAAGAGTGAAAGATTTTTCTGTAGAAAAGAAAGGATACAAGAAATTTCAAAACAATAATCTTCGATAAATTAAGGCAGTCAGTCATCAAAGCCAATTAGAAAAAAAAAAGATAGGGAGCCTCTACTAGTGTAACTGTAAAAGGATTAATTCCCATGTAAAATGTGAATGCATTCCTGAGACCTTACTGGGACAGAATACAACTCTAGCAATTGATGTGGAGGAAAAAGGCATTCCAACTAAAATAAGTACAGAAAAATTGTGAGCGATGGCCACAGAAAGAGAGGTCCCTTCTTTCAAATTGAAGCTAAAAGAGGTTAATTATTTTAGCAAAACAAAGGCTGAAAGGGAGCATCAAGGAGACAACAAAAAGGTGGAAAATGACCATCTATAGCTTACAGACAATAGAATCACAGAAATAAACTGGTAATAAATACATTCAGGATAGTAAGCTTTTGAACAAATAAAACTCTCAGGAAAAATTTACAGAAAGGAATATAAGAGGAAAAAAGTTTTAGTATGGAGCTTAGTCGATCAAATGCTTCACATAAATGGAAGTACTATTTTGCAATGCATACAGATGCAAGGGAGAACCAAAAAGAGAACAGGTTAACAAAAAAGGGAAATATAACAGTGTCAGTGTTCCCTTCAAAACACTTATTGCAGAAAAAATAGTAGTGGCAGGAGGATCAGATGTATAGACAGGCCAAGAGTAGGTTCATGATAACAGGATTCAAATAAACTTGGAAAAGTTGTTTATCTTAGAAGACAGCAGAGCTGAAAGAATCTAGGGAATAAACTTCTAATGAAGAAAATGAGCTTGATCAGACTCCCACCAGAAATTGAAACTGATGGTTATGAAATGGAAAGTTCTTCATCAAAAGAGAGAAGTGTAGGTACCTGTCATGGCATAATTAAGTCCAGTAGTCTAACACGCGTTTTGAGATGGACAAAGAATGAAGTGCAAGACGTAGACATGAAGAATTACAACGAGAGAAGAAAGCAACATGAGGAGATGGCTGATATTATACAAATGTAAACATCACATGTAGCCTTAAAGTTGAATTCAAAGATGATGAAACTACCACAGAATGAATATAGAAGAAAAGGGACAGAGACAGGATCTATAACTGAAAAGGAAGACTAATTTGCAGGTTTGAAGCAAAGTGGCTGACATAAATAGCAGAGAGGGAAAGAGAGATTTGTCTCCTTGTCGAAAGACTTGGGTAATAGGTACACTAAAAATAAAACATAGTAAACAAAAAACTTGTATGGTTTTCTTTCCTCCAGTAAACCTGTTTGGTATTGTAACTCTATGAATTCTTCCATTATACCAGGTTTTAAAGCAAATGGCTGAGAATGCAAATAATTTATCCATCACATCAGGACTATCAATATATTAAACCATTTTTCAAAGTCAGCACAGAAGACAGGCTACACAGATACCTGCCAGTTACTGAACACGTGCTGTTTTTGTTCCTTTCCCTAGCTTCATGCTAACTTTTTCTAGGAACTCAGAAAGCACCAGTAGGATAAACAGTAGAAACCTCTTCTTGAAATATATAAATAATATGGCTTGTACTCTTCTATAACATCGTATCCCAGCCATAATCACAAAATAAGCTAACAGGCTCATAAAATCTGTTAAAATTCAACTCATTAACAAAAAAGTCTACTAATTCTTTCCAGCACAACATATGCCAAACATGAATACAAACCTGAAGCTCCCTAGAAAGCACAACATTAGAAAGATCAAGTGGTGCCGGGATATATCCATTTCCCTGAGGGGAGAAAAAAAAGATTAATTATTTTCAGATAAAAGTATTTCAGATAAAACAACTATTCAACTATAACACTTCTGTTATTGATCCAGTTAGAATGAAATCATTCACATTTCTAAGTGTTCATGTAGAAATTGTGTTCACCTTTTGCCTTGCAACGTGCTGAAAATACACAGGATGTTTAACATAAAATACATCTGCTGATGTGGAAATGAGAAGGAAGCTGCACGTTTAGACCTCTTAATTGGCAACCGATGACAAACTGCTAAAAACTACTCTTCAGCCTAACAAAGGAAACAGATCCTGAGGCATCAGGATGCGTCTTCAAAACAAAAAAGAATGGCATGGCAGCAACCTGAATGAAGCACATACTAAAGTGAAAGACATTACACAATGAGATGTTAGAATAGGTTACTGTCCCCTGGCACTTACAGACTAAGAAAAAGAGGAAGGATTTGACTACATTTATTTATTCTTTAAACATTTAATGTTTGTTGTGTAATCCAATACAACAAAGCTGTCACTCACATGACTAAAACAAAACGTGAACGGTCACACAGAATCAGTGGTATCGCTCAGGTACTGAAGTTTAAACATGTGCTGATACCCTCCACTGAATCATATTTTTATCATGCATTTTGTTTATGTTTCTTTTAAGCCATTTTCACTTTATTTATATCCTTTGGTACTATCAAGGCATGGTCTGCATTACTAAAAACAAAAGAATTCACGGTATGGTTTTATATGAAATATAAACAGACAATTTTGTTAGTCAAATCTTGCTTGTCATAGTTCTCACAGCTTCTCTCCTTCCCCACCAAGACACAGACCTACTGAAGAGCTGTCTCAAAGACACGTTATTATTAAGAACTGCAAATCAAAGAACAAGGCTGGATCACATCAAAACACTAGGTACTACATCATTACCTGCAAAGTTTGCATGAAGATTTACCAAAGAGCAATCCTGTTTGTCTGTTATAATTGGAATTTTGTCAAAAAAATAAAATAAAATAAAACAAAAAAAAAATTCAGGCTCTTCCGTTTGATCAAGAGAGAAAATTACTAGATTTGCTTATTACAAAATAAAAGGCTTCAAATTCTCATTCATGTATTCTTTCAGCAACTATAGAGCAACTCTCTTCAGGTAGACTTCTGAGGCAATGAAGAGGTATGGTCTCCGATAGCCTTCTCAAAAACTGTCTTCATTTTGCAACACTCTCTTTAGAACAGCACATCTTTTGTTATAGTGACATGACTTCCAAATCTCAAAACTCTGACATTACAAGTTTCCTTTCATTAAAAATAACATAAAATTAACATAATTTTGTGTCATTTATCAGTAAATGAGTGAACAAGCATTTAATTTTTTGTATTTAAGCAATTCCACCTTACTTGGCTAGACTGAGATACGTTACGGAGCTTTTCATTTTCACGCTGATGTATCATTGTTTCTCCTCCTTCCTTGGTTCTTTCTAAGCTCCATCCCATGGCCAGCATGGTTTTCAGAGATTCTCTGGCTGGCCAACGATAGATTTCCTTTTCCTTTAAATGAAATAATGCAAAATTACTCTGTGTTCAGCACAGCAGGTAGCAAAAATCCGGTAAAAATATTCTAGCCTTGATTATAAATGGTCACAAGCCACAAGTCAATGAAATTTGTATATGATAACTACAGACAGGATATGATCGTTTTTACATTAGAAATAAGCTTTAAGATTCGTAGATTTTTTTCATTATTATTTTCTTACTGGCATATATTGCTGGGATATGTGATAGTGTACTACAAACTAAGAGCACAAAAGGGAGCTCTGGAGCAATAATGTAGTTTGTATTTTGAAACCTATAAGTGACTCTTCCAGCACAAAACAACCAAAAATGGATGGCACTACAAGTGCTATGAAAATAGTTGGGCAAATGCTTTTGAACTCGTCAGCACAGGTGTTTGCAAGCATAGGCTTGCAAACAAGCATTCAGCTCTTCTCTGAAGACGTCAAAGCAATTTACAAATCCTGGGAAATTAAACCTTCTGAATACCTCTTGAGTTCTGTAATCTCCACTTTCTGAATGGGAAAACTGTGGTAAAGAGGGGCAAATGTCTGAGTCACCCAGTGACTCACTGCAAGAATATGAGAGTTCCAATTCAGTTCAGTATTCTGACCACTAGAAGACATGCATATCTCATCAAGAAATTTAAAAAAAAAGTGCATTTAGAATAGTTTGAATGCTGTTTTTTTCCATTTTCCACTGAAGCATTTGCTTTGATTTCTTTAAATTCTTCTACCATCTTTCTGGATAGAAAAGAAAACTGCTTCAGAAGTCTTAGATTACGCTTTCACCTAAAACACAGGAGGTGCTGGCAGTCATTTCCTCATCCATGAAGGCCTGAAAATCCTGTACTATTGACGCTTTGAATACAAACTGGCCTAGACCTATGACTACTGCCTAATGGAAGCAAATAGTTTGGGAAAAAGTCTGCACAAGATTAGCTAAGCAATCACGTCCATGTGGAGATCTTGCTATTTTTAGCTACAAGTAGTAGAGTAAGCCTCTCCTCTGTGCATACCGTATATTTGAAATGGATTAACAAAAAACGTACACAGATGAGATACTTTGTATTAATGCAGCTGAAATTTCCTTTATTACCTTTTCAGTTAAAGTTTTGAAAGGTCTTATTAATGGATGAGTCTTCATATTTTCATCCAGCGAAACACCGTATTTCCATCCACTATTAGTCTGAAAAAGATTAAATATACTTAAATAAGGTAAAAGACACATAGCACAGACAAGTAACTGCAAATCAACCAGTATGGTTTGTCAAATTGAATTACGAAACTATTCCAACACCTACTCTGTGCCATAGAAATTTTTACTTAAAGAGCACGTATTCATCTGTATACACATCAGAATCAAATACAGCCTAGACACTGACTAGATTCTGCATGTAAGTGCTGGTCTCATGCAACCATTTCTGAACCTACTATGCACTTGCCCATTTCAAACTGACTAATGCCTTAAGATGGTACTGGCTAAGGTAAAAAAAGATGAGTCTCTATTCTCTGGTATGCTAGTGCTCACAGGTAAGTCAGCAATACAGAATCCTTTGCCTTAAACAATATTAACGGAAATTTGTGTTTTGAGATTAATGTGAGTGTACTTATCTATACATATCTATCTATACTTTTCTTTATAGATTTACAGAACATAGACAGAAACAACAGTAGAATTGTTTAATAAATTAGTTATCCCTACCCTCAACTTTTTCCTTGAATGAAAGTGCGGGTTTCAATTCACACTTGAAGTGAATGAGTTATTTATATCCAAAGGTCTACCTTTTTAACATTTGCAACATACTTAATAAAAACTTCAACAACTTCATCAGACTTTGTTTTTGCTCAAATTTAACTCTAAAATGTTTATTAACATTAAACTTGTTTGCAAAGGGTAACATCAAAACATCTATTAAAGGTTTCATTTTAACATTAAAAAGGTATTACAAATTACTAATTATATATGTTCTTGTCTTACATCTCATTTTAAGCGATGAAACAGACACAACAAAATGATGGAGTACATGGAGAATCATAGGGGAAATCAATACATAACAGCTTTCTTAAAGCTAAAAAGAAACAAAAGCTCTAACTACATTTTCTGAAATAATAAAGGAGATCAGACTTCTTGAGTCCTCTCTTAGATCACAGAACTGCTGCAGTAAAATTGATTCTGACTTTCAGTCAATAAACATCTTTACCATGGCAAAATGCAGCTAAGAAATATCTATTTCTACCTATAAAACAAAACAATCCCTCACTCCCCAACACATACACAAGTCTTGAACCTAATAAATCCTCAACACTGTTAAAAAGGGATAAATTTCAAAGAACTTTCTTGAGAAAAAGGTTTATCACCTGTCCCCGAAAAAATATCCAGACATTAATGCAGACTCTGAACATGCGCATATCAGTTATATAAACCAGAGAGGTTTTTTCAGTATTTTTGCTGATGATACAAAACTCAGAAGAGTGGCTGACACACCAGAAGGCTGTGCTGCCATTCAGAGGAACCTGGACAGGCTGGAGAGGTGGGCGGAGAGGAACCTCCTGAAGTTCAACAAAGGCAAGTGCAGGGTCCTGCACCTAGGGAAGAATAACCCCATGCCCCAGTACAGGCTGGGGGCTGACCAGTAGGACAGCAGCTCTGCCGAGAAGAACTTGGGAGTGCTGGTGGACAACAAGTTAACCATAAGCCAGCAGTGTGCCCTGGTGGCCAAGAAGGCCAATGGTCTCCTGGGCTGCATGAGGCAGAGTGTTGCCAGCAGGTCGAGGGAGGTGATGCTGCCCCTCTCCTCAGCCCTGGGGAGGCCTCCCCTGGAGTACTGTGTCCAGTTCTGGGCTCCCCAGTACAAGAGAGACATGGCACTACTGGAGAGTCCAGTGGAGGGCTACGAAGATGATGAGGGGACAGGAGCATCTCTCCTATGAAGAAAGGCTGCAAGAGCTGGACCTGTTCAGCCTGGAGAAGAGAAGACTGAGAGGCGATCTTATCCATGTGTACCAGTATCTGAAGGGGGAGTGTCGAGAGGATGGGGCCAGTCTCTTCTCCGTGGTGCCCAGTGACAGGACAAGAGGCAACGGGCA